TTAGTACTAAAAAATAAATAAATAAATAACTCACGTATACCGGGTTATAAATTAGCTGAAAACTCAAATGAATAATTCATCCGTAAGAGAACTGCTATTGTTAATGGGCTGAGATATCAGTCACGTCAGTGGATTAGCATTGAAGGCTGACTGTCGACGATGACGATAGATTGGAAGCCCATACGCAATCGCACCATCGGGGGGTGAGTGCACATAAACGTCCGTGCGGACTCTATTTTTACTCGAAGAAAGGTACGAGAATAGGCCCAAAATGTGTCTGAAACGAACAACTCATACGATAGCAATAGGCTAGGATTTAATCAAGGTTCATAAGCGGCCTTTAATGATCACCAACGGCGCCTATTTGACGCTTCGTGAAAGAAAGATCAACTTTTATGGACTCCATATATCCATTGATTAAAGCCTATAGAGCATAGACGGATGAAGGAATTATTACGCAATTAAGTCGAAGATTTTTTGTCATGCGTGATGAAGAGAGTTCGATATTGGAAATAAATTATTAAGGTTTATATAATTGACAAAGCACGTTATAGAATAAGAAATAATTAGCAATTTATCATGAAAGTGTTTTTGATGTATTTGTCTGGATTAGTTAATGATAAACAGTTGTTACAGTTGATTAACTCTTTTTGTTACAACTTTGAAATTTGGTAGTTGCTTTCTAAAATGATTTACTTCAGGGTAAAGTAGAGTAAAATATGGATCGTAGTATCCTATAATCATGTTGGATAATGCATAATAATAATAGAAGGGTAATAATTGTACAGCTTGAAAGTCTGTCCTGGTAGTTTGGTAAGTGACGCCGAAAAGTCAGGCGAGAGTTGCTGAAAGGACTGCGAAGGTAGGATAGAAATTGTCGGACACAGACCAAAAGCCAATTAGGGACCCTAAGCTAAGAGGTTGTACCAGAAAGAGAGACGGCAAGACACATTGGCATCGGGCGGTGATGTGTCCCTGGATGTTATCTCGTAAAACCGTGTCTCCTTTTCTACTTCCGCGACGACGAAAAGAAACAAGAAACTTTCGAAGAATCAGAGATGATTTTCCGCTTCTCTCTCTTTCACGCGTGACCCTCGCGTAATTCTCATTTTAAGATGGGTATACGGTTTACTTCTTGTGTATGCGATGAGAAGATTATATAGATGAGAGACCTATTTGAAAAATTGTAATACGTGTGTCTGTTAGCTCTATAACACAATGTTGATTATTACGATTGGAGATGTGCAATGATTTTATATTATAGCCAAGAATATACAACTAATTTCATTGGGTTTCGGATATCCAGTTCACAATTTTACACTTTAGCAGGTACTTCGTTTTTATTATAGCACTGGCCATTTGTGTGATTTTGATCGTAAAAATACTTATAGTTAATTTCCACACTTTTGTTCCATAGCTATATTGTTAAAATGTAATTTAAAAAGTAGCGTAGTAAGTATTGCAATATTTCAAGCACTGAAACAAAAAAGTTTTAAAATAGTTATTTCCAATAATGATATACCGCAAGGCCACAAACACGTAAAAATTTTGCAGCAAATTAGACGTGTAAAAAAGATACGGTACGCGGACATAAACGCGTAGGATGACCAATAAAGCATTATTATTTCTTAAAGTTTACATTCTTTATCGCTTGTTGGATCTTGTCTGCTCGTCGAATAATATCATTAATAAAGAAAGAGGGTAAACAATTGAAAAGACTCAAACAATCTTTTATTTGGTATCGATAACTGTGCCGCCATATATGGAGCTTCGAGTGTTAAACTACATTCCAGGCAACTATCTTTTCCATTGCACTATCTAGATGTGTATTGATTGTAGCTCGGTTGTACGCCCATAAAAATTCACACCCGCCGATATAGTCCCTCTGGCCGAGCGCACGCTTGGCATTTTTTTACGACAGTTGACGGCTCATCGCCCAGCCGCTTTCTCGTTTTAGCTCTCTTTCGCTGGCTTAAAAAATACATCCTTTCGGACATTGTCGAACGTAACGGCCTTTCTTTTTATATATTTTTTTGTTTTTTATTTTCTATGGAAATTCCACCAACAAAATGTCACTCGAGAGATAACCATAATAATACAATTTCCATCGAAATGTGTTTGTATAGAATTTTGTTACGTAAATTTGAATGAACTCTCTGTTAGATTTGATTATTTCGTAAATTGTTATTTGGTGGTTAGTCGAGACGGTTTTTCTCTACACTCTCACACTAGATTTCTAAAAATAGCTGTGTGGAATTATTATGAAAACTCGGAAAAAGTTCACTTAGAGAATTATCCAGTTTACGGAAGTTAATTTACGGAATTACATAAAATGGATTTATACGTAACATGCATGCACTTTTGCATGCGTCCATTCTATTATCTCTGCTCACAAAATTAGCTGCGCGATGCTTGCTTTAAACAATTATGTGCAAACTTAATCTTGAGTAAAATCATTTTAATCTTGTGAACATGCAAGGAAAACCATTTAAAAAACAGATTTATGAAAACTAGCGAATCTTTGATAAGAATGGAGTAAAAAAAGCATTGTTTTATTCCACGAGGAAACCAAAATGCACGCGTTCAAATTCCAACACGGAGAAAGAATGGCCACTGCTATGGCATAGCAACAACAAGCAACGGACATGAAACTTTCCTTGGATCGTAAAAAAAAAGAAAAAAAAGAGTGAGTAATTAAAGATTTTAATCTGACGTAATTGGATTTGTCCGCGGAAAGGGGGACTTCCTCGCGCAATAGTAAATTTGAATGACTCGTCATAATATAAAGTGAAAAAAATAATATTGCGCGGACGGAAGTATATAAGAAAACTCTACGAGCTGTCGTTCGTTTTTCCAATTAAACGCTGCTTTCCGAGAGAGAAAGAGAGAGATTCGTTCCTTTTCTGCACGTGCGGCGTCTTTTACGATTTCGCCGGATAAAAGCGGCGTAGCTTTGTCCCGTGCAAATTGCCGTTTTATTCAAACCGCGCCCTATTCTGCACTATTGTGATTCCCCTCCCTCTCTCACTGCGCCGCTCTCTTTTTCCCGTTGTATACGTGCTTCGCGGCGTAGCGAGAAGTGGACGCGCCAGACTGCTATTGCGTTTGCAAAATAGAAAAGTAACTTTGATCGGTCTTCCGTGTCGCCGTCCTCGTCGTTCCTATAATTTCGCTTGACGTTTCGCTTGTTGTCCAGCACTTTCGAACAACGCATCCGCGTTGCTTTAATTAACGAAAATATTCTCGTTTTTTCACGGCCGTAAAGCCTCGATTGGATTTGACCGCGTAAGAAATTTTGCAATATTGATTAGAATCTACAATTTTCATTTTTTTCTTGGAAACGATTGCTATTCTGCAGCAATCGAATGACGCTACTGAAAGATATTTGCAGTGATACATTATTGAGCTCCGAATTGAACGAAGCTCCGTTGACGTCACAAAGTACTTTCAATAGAACAGATATTTCATTTTGATTGCAACACACTTCCGAAAGTTATTACCTACCATGTAATAAAAATAGACATCTCATTTCATAAATTGACCAAATCAAACAAGAAATTCGTTATTTAGAAATCAGTGCGAAAAGTTGCTAGAATCACATTTATCGCGAGACTCGAGTTTTTTCTTTTTCGAGCAATTTGAAATCTTGCAAAAAAATACCTAACACGAAAATCAGCCAGTGTTCATTCGACGCCAAATTCAGACATAAAGCAGATACACCAACGAGTCGAATATATTTCACGAAAGGAAAATATTGTGTACACACGTGTTTACATAAAGTGGATCTTTCCCAGACGTATTTGTCAAAATAGTTAGCCTTAAAACTGCTGGTCCATCGTAACATCTAACAGCTATTTATTCCACGCTCTTCTTTTAATATTTATGGTCTAAGCGTGTGTTACGCCAACAAGCGATTTGCAGATGGCTCGCAACGACGATTGAATCTGTAAGTATAGTACAGATCGACATAAACAACATGCGGCAATAGGCGATTTATATTATATAAAATCTAAAACTGCTTTAGATGTAAAGCTATACGATTGCTTCTTGTGTGTATATCAAGATATGTTTATGTAACAAATATATGACACATATGTTGAAGGAAATCCAGTGAGACGAGAGCATTGACATATAGCAAAACGAATCGATTCCGATCGAATACTGGAAACCCGCCTCCAAAGTCCCCGACGTTGATTTTATTTGCATGGGTTTATGTATTCATGTGCCCTTATTATGCAAAGTGCGCGTGGTGGCATCTTTTGTTTTTTTTTAAGATTATGCAAAGCTTATATTATGGGTAGATTTATAGGCGTTGGATAATTTTACATCACGATTGGTCGAATCAAAATATAATTGCCATTCATGTTACTTGGAAAAAAAACAATCAACTTTGACCGAACGCTCCGGAAGTCTTTTTTTTAACAGTTGAAATGATCCACGTGACTTTGAAATGCACGGCGTTTAACATTCGTTAGAGGAATTGTTTGCTCGAGATAAAAAATGAAACGGAATTGACCGAATGCGAAATGAGCCAAGTTTAGCTTGAATAAATTGCGCGAAGATGAATGTTTGAAGCGCACGCTCTTGAAAAAGTACAAAAGTGTAATTCTATTCGTTAACGGATGTATCATGAAAATTTATGCAAAATCCAAGGAGTATTCTCTGCCAATTTCGATATAATGGAATGCCGTGAGTGAAGGTTGAAAACTGCGCGGTAAATTAATTGTTGTAAGCGCGAAATTGGAGTCAAGTTTCGGAAATTTCCAGCGCTGAATACGAAGGCCGTTGCAGCTGAACAGTTTCCTATCGGCACGTGTGAATTATAATAATTCCTCGAAAGCATCATCCCCCTCCCCCCATTCCACATGACTAGAGAAATCCGAAGAGCAGATCTCTGTGTTATCGCAAGCTCTCTACTTTACCCTCCTTCGCGCAGCATCCCTCGTCTGTAGCAGCCCTTTCTCTTTAGCCGCTCGGAGAGGCTGCGACTTTTCCACGACCGCGCGCAAGATCCGATCAATAATTTCATCATGGTTACTTCTGCTGCTGTTGCTGCTGCGGACGAGGAAAAGTGGTGTGTTGTCGCGGGCACTGTCTCCGATACAAAAAGCCTCCGCTTGATATCAGAGTCGGACAGGACGGTCGAGAGGCGCGTGCATGTCGTCGTCGAGGTTATGGCGATGTTGCTCGTCGCCGTAGCGCCCGACTCCATTATTTATAGCGTCGAGTTTCTTGGCACGCGGCTCGCCCCGACTACTACAACTTCTTCTCTTTTTCTACTTGGCTACCATCTGTGACTATATCATCGCGTATATACATACATCCGTCGATTTAGTGTCCGTACGCTCGTTGCCTCTTTCATACCAAGTTTAACTAGCTACCTCCGTTGTGCACGAACGGCGGGATAAGAAAAAAAAGAAAACATGAAGAAACAAAACGTCAGGACACTATCACTAGTCGTATGTACGTTTACTTATCTGCTTATCGGAGCTGCCGTCTTCGATGCCCTCGAATCTGACACCGAGAGGAGACGCTGGGAATTTTTGTCTGGTATTATAACTTTCACCTCTTTAATTTTTCTTTTGTTGTGGTGCTTTGTTGTTGATAATAACGTGTGCTATTTTTCTACGTCGACGAAGTGGAACGTTTTATCGACGAGAGGCATTTTACGTAGAATTTTATAACCTTCGATCACGCTGTCGCCGTTGATTAATAAACTTGGGAAACTTATAACTTAATTTATTCGAATATAAAAGCGCGAAGCATATTAGAACATAACATATATGAAAGTAAAATAAGTATAAGTAGTCTCTTTAAAAATAAATTTTTATTCAATGATTATCAATTAAGTTTACAAGCTCCACTTGACATCAAATAATAGTAACATTTTCTCTTGATTGTTCACAGAATGACTTAATAATTTAAACTACCTTTTTTTGCAGAGGTGCGTCGCAACATGATGAGAAAGTACAATATCTCAGTGGAAGATTATCGGATGCTGGAAATCGTAATTATCGAAAATAAACCACACAAAGCTGGCCCACAATGGAAATTCGCAGGAGCGTTTTATTTTGCGACGGTAGTTTTAGCTATGATAGGTAAGTAAAAGTAAAAAAAGGCTTTACATCATCAAAATGATACGAGAAGCGCAGCACATTCATCATTTATTGATTCGACCGCGTAACCCACGCCAGTTCCGTGTGATTTTGGGATCGTCGCCGACTGGGTCAACAGAAATGTTTCACGTATTTGTCACGTATATATGCATCTTCTTAAGTTTATCATTATGAGCGTTTGAGAATACACCAATTTATTTATTCAAAGTGAATTATAACGTTAAGTAATCAGTCGTACATGTAGCGAAACGAAACCACTGAAAAAGAATATTTTTCCTAAACAAAAAATAGGCTTGAATTAATGGTTAAATATTGTCACAAAACAGGATATGGGCATTCAACGCCGGTGACGGTCGGTGGCAAAGCCTTCTGCATGGGTTACGCAATGGTCGGGATACCCTTGGGCCTGGTGATGTTCCAGAGCATTGGTGAACGTCTCAACAAGTTTGCCTCGGTGGTGATACGCCAGGCCAAGATTTACCTCAAGTGCCAAAAGACCGAGGCGACCGAAATGAACTTGATGTTGGCAACTGGCCTACTGTCGAGCGTCATAATTACAACCGGGGCCGCTGTATTTTCACGTTACGAGGGTTGGAGCTACTTCGATAGTTTTTATTACTGCTTCGTTACTCTCACGACTATTGGCTTCGGCGACTACGTAGCGCTACAGGTAGGCTTTTCATTTTATTGCGTGTTTAGCTTTCTTCTTTAGTATTGGATATAGGAACTTTTATGGTTATTGCAATTTACTCGCTGTTCCTAGCTCGAAATTTATATTCGCGAACATTTTACTTTGATTGCGTAAAATGAAAGATAAATAAATTTGTATTATTATAGAACGATCAAGCCCTATCGAATAAACCAGGATACGTAGCTCTGAGCTTAGTGTTTATTCTGTTCGGTTTGGCAGTAGTCGCCGCCAGCATCAACTTGTTGGTACTTCGATTCATGACAATGTAAGTAAACAATTTAAATAAATCAATTCATAAAGCCTTGAACGTATTAGAATGAAGTCTGCGACCCAGTTATCAACGCGTAATGTGAATCGAAGAACGTAATGCGCATTTCATTTTTCAGTAGTATTATGCAAATATGGTCGGCCGGGGCTTGTTTATATGTTGCGTGCTTTTTCTCTCAACTTGTTGAATACGATGATGGTGCCGAATTTTTCTGTCAGCGTCTTAAACAACGCGTCCATTTCGTCGTTCACATAATGGAAGTTATCCGAATAGAAAAATAAGAAAAATCTCTCTGCCACAGGCAAGCAGCGGAGGAAGTCCGCCGCGACGACGAGTTACAATCAGCCTCTCACCACGTACTGACTTTGGATGGCGAAGTTGTAGCAGTGAATGGCAAGCTGCTAGCGGGTCACAACATCTGTTCGAACGACAACGAGGATTGCGTATCCGTCTGCTCGTGCACGTGTCTGGGAGCCACGAATTCCGAACTGTTGGATTCTTCGGGTTATCAAGGTTATAGGCCACCATCGATCACCACAAATTTGCGCGTGAAACGCGCGTCCGTCTGATGGAAGGAGTTTCGCCGGCGCAGCCTGCGCCGTCGGCTCTCACGGGTCGACAGCCGCGAGCTACTCGGCATCGACGTCTAATCGCTCGTCGTCGGTGTTTTTTTTCCTTCGCAGCTCGGCTGTATATATCTGTCTCTTTACCCATTTCCGATGTCTATTTGTATTTATCAGTGGTGTTTTAAATATTTGTAAGGACCATTTAGACCTCATGATGTACATATTGATTTAGAATATTTACGATAATTGAAACAGGAGTGGAAAACTGTGTAATTTAAAATCTATTTCTACGAATACGTTCAAAACGTATTGTGGATGATTGACTATTTGAATGGTACAACGTTCCGTTCAGGTCGGTGGAAGATTATTTTCCTCTTTGCATTTCTTTGTACATAAAATTACAAAGATTCACGTAAATGACGACTTAGAGAGTATTTTATATGATACCGAAAGTATTTTTTGTCGTAGTCTCGAACAATTGACAAATTTATACTTGTATAGCTCGCTGTCGGAGGAAAACAAACACGTCTGAAATAGTAGAGAACTTGAGGGTCTTTAATCAATGCCTTACGACTAGCAACTTATTTCGATTATTGTTTGCGAGTGTTTTATACAAACTTGAGTTTTTTTTTATTAATTCACAATCTAACTTCTTATTTCTTAGAAAGAAAACTATTCATAAAAAATATTTTATTTTATTTTATGAATAAAATGTCTTGTTATTAATTTAATTAGATATATTTTCGAAAATGTTTGTAGTAAAAGCAATATTTAAATTACTTGGTTAAAATTTCTTTTCTTTATTCATAAGTAATGTTACCATCTAAGTACGTTAAAAAATGCTTGGGGTAGAAACTTAGTAAATATTGTTGTGCGTTAAAAAAATGAAAAAATCATAATATATATCAGGTGAGTTTCAACGAACATAAAATTATATTATGCCAATATAGTATTACAACCAAAGAAGTTGAACATTTGTATGGAATAGAGTTACTATAGTTGCAAATAGTACTTATATAAAAATGTTTACAGTTTAGCGAGATTATAAAATCAACGCACAAAGACACGATTGTCATATGATAAGACACACAAACTCGTAGATCAAAAATACCATAGTTGCATGTTTGAATATGAAAAAACCATTGAGGCATTGTGTGATAGTCTTGTGGGTAGAAAATTTTTAGCGTAAATGTGCCAGTTAATTCATTGATTTTGAATCCGAATATTTTCTTAATTTACATAAGATTATAAATGTAACTCCGTTTTATTTATAAAATATTTAAAAATAATATAGACCAAAAAATATTTCACAAAATAAATATAACTGCTTCGCGATTTCGAAAATGTGATAAAGAAAAATTATAAAAACACATTAAAATATTCAAAAACGATCAGAAGACGTTTCTAGATTTTTTACTTGTTATTTTTAAATGTTAAGGCTGCCTCATACCAATAACTAAATATAAATAGTGACTGGAAAAATATTGTTGCATCTTCCTTCCGATGATTTGTCGAAATGATACATATTAGATGCTCGAATAAATTAATATTAAAAGTTGTATTACCTAGAATGCGAATAATCTATCTTGTATGATTCTGTCCAGTAGTTTTGTCTTAAAAAAATCATAAAATCAACGATGATTTTGAGCTGTGATTGATGTTTATGTAACATTTAGTATATATTATTTTGGCCGGAAAACTATTGAAGGGAAGACGTGACAAATTTTTCCCGTTCATTATATATATTTAAATAAGTATAGTATCAATATGGGAAGCCTGAAAATAATTCATTTCTATTAATGTAAAATAAATGGGTTCTTAAAACGGTGCATAGATAGGTAAATTGAAATATTTAGATATTAAAATTAAAACGATCAAGTCAGAAATTAAATGGAAAAAGAAAAGACTGATAAAATAATAATCAATCAATTAAACAAGTATTGCCGTTAATAATCAAGATTATTTATTTATTTAAATTCCAACAATATAGATTTTCATAAAATCAAGTAACAGTCAAGTACAAGTTTTTAGATATTTTTTTTTTATTTCATTTATAAATTACTTTGGATTTTCCATTCTTATTACTATTATATATTTTTTCTCTTTTTATCTTTTAAAATTTCAATTGGATTATGTTGTAAATAAAAATTATTATAAAAAAAGAGATAATACATAGGTAACTAAAACGTCTTTCAAAATTTTGAAAAGTTTAAAATGAAAACGATGAACAATACGTACGCAGCTTCTTATTGGATTATCTATAAAGTACAATGTACTAAAAATTTGTATAAAATTTAAAGTATACTTTGCAAATTATGATTTGCATTGATGTATATAAAGTTTAGAAATTGTATCATGTGTATGTATATTTTTAAATGTTCTGACATTTTTTAATAAAATCGTGGATACAAGTTAAAGACTAGCATTTTGATTGAAATTCAGAAAAATCCCTATACAGAACCCTTTGTCTATCGTTATTAATTTATTAAGAAATAGTTAATCTCTGTTAAGTTGTCCAAGGTAGACTTCACTTCATTTTTTAATTTAGTAATAATAATAATAAAGAACTTTGCAATTTAGAATGAAAATCGTTCAACTATATAACATTATTATAAATAGTGGACATTAAAGTTAAATGAAAAAGACTTGGAACAATTATAATTATCTTTGCAGGACTTCTTCAAGCTTGGTACTCATATAATAAGGTCTTTGAGTGGAGCCATCATTGCGTTCTGTATCTTCAATGAAGCATAGAAAAATAGTATGGACTGCGTTATTTATTACATCGAAGAAGGCATTAGCAACCGTTATTATACCAATAAGAGAGACTATTATTGTGATCCAAAATATCCAATATTTATCATCAGAATCATCTGATAGTGTGTTGTTGAGATGCATTATGAGACCGTCTATAACTATATAGATAATAAGTAATTCAGCCACCATGAACATTATTTCTGCAATCTGGAAGATTGAATTTAAAAATTAGATTAGCAACTTATTTAAATTCATACCAGTAATAATATTTCAACTTACCTCGTGGACGATAATAACTTTCGTCAAATTTCTCATTATCAAATTGAAAGCACTTTTTGCAGATTGAAAAAAGTTCTTGCCGTGCATGGCGCACATGATATAGGCATTTTTGTTTAAAAATTTTATGATATCCCGAAACATGTTACTTTGAAAGCCTAGCATGTGCAAAGAGAGTTGCCTTGATTCTCCTACTTTCTGCACAGCATGTATGAATAAATTTATGCAGTGAGTGAACATCAATACGAGTGAGCCAAGAGCTATTGTTCCCAGATGGTATCTAGAATTTTGTAAATATTGATAAATATATTAATATTTGTTATACGGAAAATGACAATAGCCAAGTAAAATTGAGTGGGATTTTACTGGATAGCTCTGGCTAAACTTTCAATTAAAGCGTAATTTCGAACATCACTTTTTTGGAGAGTCCAATACCATGTTGCAAAAGTACCGCCGAGAACCATGAATTCCAAGCCATTAAAAAAGTAAATGAGCCACGTCGAACCAAAGATATTGATGATATGAATAAAATACGAAGCAACGGGCATTCTGTCAACGTTTAATCCACAACGTTTAAATTCGCAATCGTATCCTCTGTCAGTACACTCATAATTGAACTCATCGGGGTTACAAAAATCTCCAATGCTGTAGTAATTATTGTTGCAATAACATCTATAACGATCATCGTCAAACCAAGTTTGAATCGTATAGCTTGGTTTCGTAATTGTTACAAGATACAAAAAGAATATAATAGCGAAGATGAAAATTGCAATTTGAAGTAGACCCGTAACCCATGGATAAACTATCGTTGCTGGCAAATGTATCACTGCCCTATCGATTGAAAGTAAGCAATCATAAAATCTATAATAAAAGAACAGTTTTTAGATGTTTATGATAGATGAGTATCTTACTTGGCGGATTGTTGGACTAACAAACATGCTAAATGGATTTTTTTGCGAGCATAGAGGACTGCTATTACGATAGCAATTAAAATGAACACACACAGGATAATCGCTATTAAGTTTATTTTAGGTGACTTGGATTCTCTTATATATTTATCAGTCAAGAAGTAGATTGCAATTGTTAACATAGCAATGAACAAGTAAATCGATGTGTAAAAAAATAATTTGGCGAACCATCTGAATAGAAGCACACTTAACAACGTAAGTATGATAGTAAAAAAAATACTCGATAAGACTGGGAGCCTAGAAAATATTAGTTACTGAATGTATAAGTACAATTTTTAAAACAGCTGTAAAATATAATTATTATCAGTTTTTTAATTACCAAACCGATTTGCTGATTCTGTAAAATTTCTTCATATAATATTCTCCATTTAATACGTTACCATCGAGTTTTGAGATTCTTTCATATTTATGTCCTTCCCATGAATTGTAAGCTATACACCTACCGAGGATAGGATAGCTTTTTAAATACCATTGGGCACATTTATCATTGGCCATCAAAATGTCGATGTCATGAATTGTTTGAATACATGTGACATTAACATCAGCCGTACAAATTAATTTCTTCCTTATCTCATTAACTGGTTCAGTCTTGTCGTATCGGAAATTTTCAGTTGGACATTCCGATACACAAATTCTAGGAGAATAATCTGATCGCGCGGCCTGCCTCAAATTCAGGTACATTATGTATGGTTTATCAATAACATCTCGATCGATTCCACATGTGTGACCAGTACTGTCTAAACGATCGTCTAGTTTTCTGAGATCTCCAGCAACAAAAGCTAAAATAGCAATTTCAAAGAAATTATTGCTTATAGTATACGTAGAGTAATTTCATTGTTGATATAAATTTATAATAATTACCATAAATAGCACATACAAAATAGATGACAAAGTAAGAAATAAAGACGATCAACCAATTTCGATCAGTGACCCTTCTGCTTATCGTCATTGGTCCTTTCCATAGTGGATCATATTCAAACTTTGTCCCTATAGTTGAACATTTTTAAAAAGTTCTAAATTCAAGCGAATATTATATCATCAATATTATATATGCGTATTTTAAAAATAATAATTATATTCAGCACGTCAAGTATGTATACCAATCCATAAATATTTTAGACGAACGATAAATACAGAAAAATTAATTGATTATATCAGAAGTAATAAATTATTTCACCATGATTAGACTAAACTTTTAAAATAATAGCAAGTAAAAAAAGGTTGTAGATTTGAAATCAGTTTCAACTTATATAATGTAGTTGTAAATAAAAATAAATGCACTCAAAAATAAACAATTTGCTGTCTTAGAAAAATATGACAAATAAATATAAGTTTACCAAATCTATCATCGTTACTTGTCATGATGTTGTTACTAACAATACTTCTTGTCTAAACTAAAATCAGATTTCACCATCAAAAATACTAAAGCGGTACTGAACACGCCAAATTTAAGGGTAACCACAATCCAAGTTTAATTAATTCAAAATAGCTGTTAATGTATCATCGCGGTTTGAATAAATAATATATAAAAAAAGTAAACACATTAAAAAACTGTTCGTTGCGCATTTGTTCTTTTGTGAAAAAAATATTACATTTCTTTTCCGATGTGAAGTGAGATCTGAAACACAAAATTGGATTCGAACAGCCACTGTAAACAAAATGGTACCAACTCATCAACAAAGGAAATTTTACTCTACGCAATATGATAACGAAAGTATTCGGATTTTCAACAGGTTGGTTTAATAAATGCGGATTTGTTATTTGTAAGCAAAGCAATCTTAAGTTTAATATAATATCCCACTATATAAAGAATCATAATTTGGTCTTCTAGTAATAACTTTACTTCGCTCTCTTTAAGCATTAAATTGTCATTCTAACATTTTTTTCAGTTTTTCATTCTAGAATCTTATTTTATTGGGCCGACAATAATTCGTTGTTATGTATGAGTGACAACAGAGAATCAGGCGCAACAGAAAACGGCTTCACACATATATTGCAGCGTTTTAGTTTTTTATTATGTAGCTTTTTGAGCAGTTGATAGCAAAAAATATCTATAATTTTCTAGAATCTCTAATTTAGTTTTCAATGTGTGAGTTTCTCATATAAAAATCTAGCTTATAGATATTATATGTAACAGTTGCAATTTTTTGAAAAATTCTCTAAATTCATTTTTGATTTTCGATTTCTCTTACTGTGTATATTTAAAATTATCATGTGTGTTCAACTAAATTAAGAAAAAAATGAAAAATAATTATAAATATAGTTAAAAATTTTTTACAGTTATTATAAAGACTTTTGATATTAAGATTTATCTTACAATTATCTACTACGTAATGTCAATGCTTAACTCAAGTTTTGTTTTATAATTTGAATAAAATTTTAAACTGTAATAAGTTTGACTAAATTTATTATTTGTGCGATTTATTTACGATCTGCCCATGAAATTAGTTCTATGAATACATAAATGCGCTTGTCTAACACTTGATTTACCATCATTTCTTCACGATTATCTAGACAACATTGAATATGTTCGCAGATATTGAAAAATTTAAGGTCAAATTTTTAAATGTTTGATGTATAATTAAATTGCTTGAAAAATGTAATTTGTTCCAAATTGTTCTAAATAAATTGTGTATAAAGATATATTAGATTTTCGTAAGGTTTCAGAAATAAAAATACTAATTTGAATATATTATAATATTTATTCATAATGCATCATCTAAGATGTTAAGCACACCATATTTATATATATAGATCAGAAAACTTTCATATATTCTGTATATAACATTTTATATATTGATCATATAGAAAGTCGAAAATATCAAGTTATAATTTAATAAAAATACTTATTTGACTAAATTATATTTATTCATAATGCATCATCTATAATGTCCAGCACACCATATTTATATGTATATAGAACAGGAAACTTTCATATATTTGTGTATAATATTTCATATATTGATTGTATAGATCAGACAAAGTATCAGACATAAAGCTTTAATTTAAGAGTTTTTAACACTGATAGTTTTGAATATACATTTATAAAATACACACACACACACATACCTATTGTTATAAATATAATTGACTGCTAAATTAAAATATTTTATAAAAATATCAATCAGTATGCCATATAAATATATTTAAAGTATATAAATATAAAACGTATCAAAATAATTATAGATAATTGTATAAAAATAGACTTTAGTCAATTTGTTAATTAATCACAATATAAATACAGTGAATAATTTGTAATAAGAAATATTTAAGTAGGTAAGGCATTAAAAGAGAAATATTATTAAATATAAAGGGAAACGAGAACAAGCAGCTTATAATGGATCAAGATTTCAATTAATTAATATTAAAATTAGAAGTAAGTGAAGACTAAACTTTTTTGATTATTTTTGTAACAATTTTTCAAGCTTGTTACTCATGTAATAAGGTCTATCATCAGAGCCATCATTTCGTTCGGTATCTTCAAGAAAGCATAAGAAAATAGTTTTAACTGCGATACTTTGTACGTTGAAGAAGACTGTAGAAATTATGAATGTACCAATAATAGTTAGCACTATTGTAATTGCAGAGTATGGACCAGAATCATCATTGTCTTGCCATGGTAGAGAATACTTCAGATATAAAGTAGTAAATCCGGTAATTAACAAAGTAATGAGTACTTTAGCCATGAAAAATAGCCAATTTGCTGTCTGAAATATTAAATAAGTAAATTAAGTAACAACATACTTATGAGTTAGCATCATTAATAATTCAACTTACTGTATCTACGACAAACACTTTAATAATATTCCTCATCAGCAAATTAAATGCATTTTTTGCCGATTGACAAAAGCTTTTGCCATGGATGGCGCACATGATGTAGGCGTTGTAGTTTAAAAAATTTAAGAATAAATCCAATAAGTCAAACACGCCTCTACAGATGCAGACTAGCATTTCTGCCACTTGATGGTTTGTTTCTTTCAATTTACCTTGTAGAGATTTCAGTAATAAACGTATGATTTGAGCGATTGCTAGTATGAATGACCCAATAGCTATTGTTCCCAAATGGTATCTATAATTTTGAAATATTTTTAAGCAAATTGGTATTAGAAAATAAGGCTAAGAGTTAGTATAATTGAGTTTTACTTTACCTCGTAGTTCTAGATATACTTGCAGCTAAAGAGTAATTGCTAACGCTATCTTTTTGTAAAGACCAATACCATGTTGCAAAAGTGCCACCAAGTACCATGAATTCAAATCCACTAATGAAAAATATGAGCCAATAAAAGCCAAGGAGATTGATAAAATGGAGAAAATTTACATAACTCGGATATATTCCACCATCTAATCGGCAATTTATAAACTTGCAAGGTTGTCCATTTGGTAAACTGCATTCCTTACTGAAATCATCAGGTTTACATATTTCTCCACTGAAATAATTTGCTATTGGGTTTTTGCATTGGCAACCATCTATATCTCCACCATCCAGTTTTTCAATTGTATAGTTAGGAACTGTAATTGTTAGAAGACTCAAAGTAAACAAAGCAGAAAAAGTTACTACAACGATGTAAAGTATCCATGGAATAACTGGAAAGGCTAGCGTTGCTGGTAAATTCATGACAGCTCTGTCAAATAAATATATTAATTATAATATGTACAACAATCTATATATAGCAATATTTGTTGAATACCAACTTGCTAGATTCTTTGATTAGTTGGCAAGCTAGATAGATTTTTTTACGAAAATAGATGACTGCTATTATAGTAATAATTATGAATATCACACAGATGATAAGAGCAAACAATATTCCTTTATCATTTGTTTTAGTATACTGAACAGTCAAAAAATAAATTATAACTCCGATAAGAGCAAGGAACATGCAGATTGCACTGTAGATCATTGGCAAAGCAAGCCATTTCAATAGTACCACATATATCACTGCGAAAATGCTAGCCAATAAAGTAGCCACTAAAGCTGGGCGCCTAGAAAATATTAATTGTAGTTATATAAAGTTAATTCTTAAAAAAATTCTGAATCTAACAACTACTTTATTTACTGACAGAGCCAATTTGGTAAGGCTATATGTTTTCTTCACAAATGATTTACTAACTTCAATAATAATATTAACATTTTTCAACTCTTCTTCTGTGATTGTTTCATGTTCATGTCCTTTCCATGTCTCTGATGCTATGCAGTGCTTTAAGGTATGTCTACTTTTTAAATACCATTTAGCACATTTATCATTAGAAATTAAAATCTCAATCTCCTCAGCTGTTGTAATGGATGTGAGATTGACATCAGCTGTGCAAATTAATTTATTTTTTATCTCATTTACAGGAACAAATTTATTGTACATAAAATTTTCAAGTGGACATTGTGATACACAAACACTTGAAGATTGACAGGGATGAAAAATATCAGTATTATTTGATGTACTATTTGATGGTATGCATTTTCTTAAATTCAAATACATTAGATAGGGCTTATCAACTACTCCTTCATCAATACCACAGAATCGACCACCACTATCTGAAGGATAAGCTAATTTTCTCATATCACCAACAGAGAACCCTAAAATAACAATTTTAAATGATGAGCGCCATTATTGAATAAGAAAACAAAGTTTATTTTGTTAAATTGATTAACAATAATTACCATAAATGGCAGCTCCAATGTAAATTATTAAGTAGATACAAAAAACAATCAACCAAATCCTATCAGTAGGAGATCTAATGTTTTGCATTGGTCCTTTCCATAACGGATCGTATTGAATTTTTGTCCCTGTTTCAATAAACATGAAAAGTTATGAGGGTATTCATATTAAAAATGTCAATTTATACATCAACATAAATCACAGTAAAATTAATTTTAATAGAGAGTAATATAATAATACATAAATTCATATAAATAATAACTGTTGAACGAGAAATTTGATCTGCACTTACACAAAGCGTAAAATTCGTGTTATTTTTAATTAAATTGCGCAATCAACCATTTAAAACTGATAAAAAAAGATATTGATAAATTGATCCAATTAACCTTATATAACGCAGTTGCCATTTGTAGCAGCTGCGCAGAAATGCAATTTTTTAATAAAAAATGAAATTTAATAAATTAATTTACCGTATTTTTCTTCATTATTCGACATAATTGTTGCTCAAAACTGAAATATTACTAGGTGCAACACGTCAGTTGTTCTATAACATATATAGAACACGTTCAATTTTAAAGTTTTACACCTGCAATTCAAATTACATTAAAATTACATTTGATAGTAAATTTCATAAACTTAATAGTTATACGACATGGATAATGCACACACATTAAAAGTAAAATTTGTCTTCATCAATTAAAATTATTATGCTTTTTATGTGCGATGCAAACTGTGCAGTTAAAATCTGGAAGCCTCTGGTCACCGCACTCACCACCATCGATACACGGCGCCCACTCAAACATGTGTGTGTGCATGATACGCACATATATGTACACGAAAATGATGTATAAACTATACGCAGTAACATCAAACACGCTGCGTGTGTTCATATCTTCTTTTTCATTTTTTGTCATATTGGTTACATATTTAACATAAAATACTTTTTTCAAAGTTGAATTTTTTAATTCATTTACAAAACATATAATCATAACGTAAAAAAATGTATTAATAAAACAATTCTGCGTATTCTCAATTCATGATTTATCATATCCAAAACTGCTATAAGTAACGTTTTAGTTCTTTTTAAATATACGGGGCAAATTACTATTAAATATTTATCCTACTCTTTCGATAAAGATTATATACGATTTATTTCAATCTGGCACATTAAAATATCACAAATTATCGATTAGTAATAGAAAATAATCAGAACATTTTTTATTCAAAAACTGTATGGTTATAGAAAAATTATCCAAATATAAAATATTCTTATATATATTTAAAAAATACATGAGAATTTTTTCGGATTTTTTCGAGCAAATTTTTGATTTTTCCAAAAATTGGCCAATTACAGAAACAAAAATTTTTTTTGAAACGTTTTGAAAAAATTACATTTCATGCAATAAAAATTACACACTCGAGGTACGATTTTGGATACCCCAGGTGAAAAATCGATCCGTGATCATATATTTTTCAAATTTAACCATTTATTTCACCAGTTAGTAAAGTTTTAACATGATTACATATTGGAAATTTTTTGAAGATTCTATTTAAAAAAAAAGTGTGACAAATTCGTTTCTTTTTTAAACTGCATTTTATCCGAATAAACAATTTTTTGCAAAAATGTCATGGGCACCATCGGAAAGAGCATCTCTTAAACTTTCAGAATATGACCTTTACCATTTTTTTTGACTCCTGTAACATTAATTATGAGCGCTCAAAGACCTGCATACCGAGAATGACGTTTGCAATCATAATTCGTATTTACTTTTTCCATTTTCTTTTACCATGTTATTTAAGCGTGTTGCATTAAGTTTTATTACTTGTACTTGTATTTTTTCTTCTATAATATTTTCTCTGCTTCCACTGCGGCTATAAAATATTTAATTTTTGAAGTATTGAGGTGGCTACTTTTAGCACTTATTCTACTACTTTGTTTACATTGCATTTTGGGCACGAAGTTTTACGACATGGCTTAATTTATACTTATGTTTCTTCCGCAACTTATATGTGTCCTTCCTTTGGATTACGATTATAAAAAATTTACTAGCTCAAGTCTAATGTAGTGATAAAAAATATAATCTTTGCATTTAGAATATTAGAACAATAATATGTGATATAATTAAAGAAATGTGCTATCAGAAATTGCTAAAACTGTTGTATCCCTATATCGTATAATAATTTGACTAAAGTGTAGAATGAATAGTACATATGGATTTGCAGTTATAGTTTACAGTAAAACATTTGATAATTATATTCTTGTAATGTTTGGATCGAGGAAAATTATTTTAAAGATATTCTTTAATTAATTATTGTTGTACAATGTGAGTAGGCATTATAAGATATAATCAACAAATATAAACAATGTTATTTTAACGTTTTTTAATGAAGTATTTTTGTATCACATTTATTGTTTCCTTTTTTTTGTTACTATACAATAATTATTTTAATTTTCATATCAATTTAATATTGTTTATACGACCCCGGAACCGGTAAATGATAGTTTCGAAGCTCCCGTCGAACTGTTGTGGATGCAACTGATTTTCTTGTCATCGCATTCAAAATTTGCGCCAAAAGTTATAGAAGTCCACCCCTTGTGCTATATATAGGAAAATAAGAGAAGGAAAAGGAATACAAGGAGATATACTATCATATTGTATTATAATTTGGTATAGTTTCAAACTAATTGTGCGTTATTGCCGGCTCTGTTCTGCATGTGTCAATATTAATAAGTATTGTAGGTGATATTGATATGGTGTACAGCAATAACATAATTTCATTAGATTAATGTTTTATATTTTATTTGTACCATTCAAAGTTGTCGTAGTCTTGAGCATTTAAAATAATATTCTACCATATTTATATAGATGAACAGTAATTAGTGATTTTAAGAGTTATAACTTTCTCCGTTATTTAACCTGCAAATTTCAGCAACATAAACAAAAATGGTAAACAAAGTGATTTTTTAATAAAAAATTTCTATACATTACAAAATTTGTGTTTATTTTTTGCTAGCAAAGAAATTAGTTTTTAATATTTATTCTAAAATAAATAACATGAATCCAATAATTAGTCAATAACTTTTTTTTCAGGCACGTAATGCAGAAAAGGCTATGTAAGGACTAATTTTTGTTTGCCATTAAAATGTACAACCCATTATTTATCTATTTATTCACTTTGTTTGTATTATTACAGGACTACACTTGCTCGGTGGCGAGCTGCACACTGTAATGAGGGAGTCAAAAGAGAACAGGAAAGAAGGCCATACCTTGCATCAGAATGTAAAGACTTGAGGAAGGCAGAAAAATGGAGAATGCAGATTATCAGAGAAATAGCCAAAAAAGTAGCTCAGATACAAAATGCAGGTTTAGGTGAATTTCGTATCAGGGATCTTAATGATGAAATCAATAAGCTGCTCAGAGAAAAACGACATTGGGAAGTTCAAATAAAAGATCTTGGTGGTCCTGATTATTCTCGGACGGGTCCTCGTATGTTAGATCATGAAGGAAGAGAGGTATCTCAAAAGTTTTCATATAATTTGATCAAATTTATACAATATTGATATAAATATAACTACATTATTCAAAAAACTTGTTGACAGATAAAATTGCTTCATTCAGTTACATTCTTACTCTGTCTTTTACACAAAATTGTACATCCTGATTTATTTCAAAATGACTTATTATTGAATTTATGTATATAGGTGCCAGGAAATAGAGGATATAAATATTTTGGAGCAGCTAAAGATTTGCCTGGTGTTCGAGAACTTTTTGAACAGGAACCTCCACCACCTCCAAGAAAAACACGAGCAGAACTGATGAAAGATATTGATGCTGATTATTATGGATATAGAGATGATGATGATGGCATTCTTGCTCCTCTTGAACAAAAAGATGAACAGGAATATCAACAAATGCTCATTGATGAATGGAAACCAAAAGAAGCCACAGCTGAAAAAGAAACTATAGTTGACAAAGATGAAAATATAGAGGCACCGCATATTCCCAGCCAAAAGGAAATCCAAGAAGCTTTATTATTACGAAAGAAGCAAGAGCTACTGGAAAAATATGTAAATTAAAGTTTGGACTATTTGGCACTGTATATATAATTTGAAAAAAGTTTTACTTCAATGATCAGAAGTAAAATGGAAATAAACCAATTATTTTACTCTTTAATCAGCATGTGTTTATTTGCGCAAATATTAACAACTAGTCATAGATTGATTCATTCGATAATATCGGAATACATCTTTTATAAAACACCACCGATGTACATATTTAAATTTCTTTTATATTATTAAATAACATTGATTAAAGGTAACTACTTTTGTGCAGTAGACATTCAAACTTCAATGAATGCTTACCAAGAATAGGTGCTATATAGATAAAATGTGGACATAATCCAACCGTAAAACTCAGTACATATTAGATCTGTCAAAACTTTTTTAATGTAAAAGAATGTTATGTAATCAATCACACTGGTTGGTTAATTTTGGAAAATAATTTCGACAGATACAATAACCGTCGAGTATATATCAATAACGATTGTAAATCCAGTGAAATATTTCCAGTATACGATGCTCTCCATTGTTTCTTTGTTTTATTTGTTATTGTGTAAATTGTCGAGATTCTCATAAAAATTTTAAAATTGAAAAAATATATGTATATATGTATACATAGAAGGTAATTTATTTATTCCTGAGAAAAAAAGCAAATAGAAAAAATACATATTCGAGACAATTAACAAATAATAGAATGAAAAAATAACATTTGTCAAACAGCAATATATAGCATTATACAACGTAATAATTGTATTTCGCATAAAATCGATTGTAAACATTACAGATATCATTGAAAACAAGCGTACGGTATATTTATGTTAAAAAACACTCGTAATTCTAAAGTAGCCTGGACGAAAAATTCCCAAAAATACGAAACATTGTACCTCGCAATCATAGTTTCGTTCATCACATGAAAAACAGTGTGTAATCATGTGAGAAAGAGATAGATAGAGGTGCAAATGTGCGCCTAATATGAACGCAGAAGTGATTGAACGAATTTTTCGAAAGTTAATTCTGCAGGGGAGAAAATAACAATCCATGCATATTGAATGACGTAGTTGAACTCGAGCCTTTTACATCGATTGTCGAGCCATCTCGCAACACGCGCCGATGTATTTTTGTAAATACATATCGCCGGAACGGTCATCGGTGTTGGCGGTCCTATACATTTGGAAAAACCCTTAATTTTTGAACGGGACTAGAGCTATTACAGCTTTAAGAAATTTCTATGGGCGATAAAAGTAGTTCAAATGTTCATCTCTTATGTTCTTTTCCGTGTTCATTATCAGTCACCGCACTCCCGTCGCTCAATACAATTTCGAAATCTATAAATCGCTATACAATAAGAATATTGGTTTTTGCTTGCTTTTTTTTTTGTTTATTATTATCATCATTAAATTACTACTTCTAAATTATCTTTTTTTGTTCCGTTTTTTTAGGGCCTATTTTATCAGCATTTATTATATTACTTCGCCACTCTCGAAAAATATTTAAATAAATCTTTTACAATGTATCGTTACTCGACGACCGTTTTACAGTATTACAATTTTACTAAAATCACAACTGCATTTTACAAGGTGCTTATGCAAGTTTATTGTGCGTCATTGAATGTAAAATCTATGTTTTTCGTTTCTTCTTCTTATTTTTCTCGTATCTTAGGTAATTTTCATGTTTCTTGGTTACTCAATATTATTCTTCAATTGTCCTTGTCGAAGCGTCTCGTTCTTATAAGTATATATAGAAAGTTTACTCGTAACTTTATTTGAACGATAAACACGCGCTGAACCGCCACGTCTCGAAACCGTTCCAATATGCCTATCATACATCTTTTTAAGTGTAATATTTAAAGACATCGAAAGAGAGATTTAGAGATATGAACAATTGCAGCACGCGTATGTCTGCTCCGAGAGGGACATTTATATTATATTATATGTATGAAGAAGGCACGAAAGTAAAATCGATTAAAAAACAAAGTTGAGGGGAGAGAGTATGAGTCAATTGTTATTACCATCGACTATACATGCGAGTGATGTGAGTTGGCTCTTTTATAGTATATAATATAAAGGATTCAACCGATTTTCTTTTAATATATACTCGGGACTACAGTCTACCTGACCTATAAGCGGTGTGTATGTGCTCTTTTGTACACATACTCGTGTTACAAAGCGCACAAGATTCAAATTGTCAAATCTATTCCGCAAATATGACAATCACAAATGTATAATTTATTGAGTGTACGCTTTATCGTCTCTTCGCCGAAAAAGTCTTGAAAAAATTTCCTCGCGCTACCCTTTATGCTTTGAAAAAGTTGAGGAAGGAAAAGGAAAATGTGAATGAAAAGCCAGCCAAAGCGCAGTCTTCCTTTGTGCATATCGTTTTGCCAGCGACAAGCACATAATTCACTTTTGTGAGCATTTTTTGAAAAAAACTCTGACAAACATCTTTTTTTTATATCTTACGTCGCTTGCATCATCTTTCCCAGCGATAACAATCTCGCTCATCTTTTTCACGTATCAAAGGGTAATTTATTATTTCTTTTCCTTGAAAACACAAGAAAGGCCTTTGGCGTCTTGAAGACGCACTTTAAATATTTTCACAGGCCTTTAATTTTGCGCGACAAAATGTTTTGTGTGTAAAGCACCACTCAAACTATAATAAAGACTCGTAGTTTTATACAACGGTATGACTTTTTAGTAATCATTCTGTCTCATTCTCCTTAAAAGTTAAATCAGTATTCCAAGTTTTATCAAAGTTTCCCACCCCCTGAATCTTATTCAGGTATTTCTCAACATTATTTTTTTCTATTTTTTTTTTTTGTTTTTTTTTTGTTTTTTATTTTTTTGGTTGTATATAAGTGACATCAGACACAAGAGGAAACCGCTTGTTACAATATTGACTTGGGCCTTTCTTCTGTGTTTTTTGCTGTTGCGTGTTTTTTTTATTTTTTTAACATATATCGATCTTGATTCTCGGGCAGTTATTGGCAAAAGTTGACTGCGTTTTTAATAGGCGTGGCCTCTTTGAGGTAAATTTCCAACGCCTGAGTTGACTTGACTCACTCTCATCTTGTCTCGCGCGAGAGAAAGAGAATGACTTTATTAATTGTTTTCTCCAGGTTTACAAGGTCAATGCCTTTCAAGGTCTGAGAAGCGAATGCCAACGCTGCACCTGAGTTGGTTGAGCATACGAGCGCACGTCGTTCCAGTGCTGCAACTCGTCAGCTCCAGAACAACTCTGGCCCAAACACAACCAACCAACCAATTCGCGACCTTTCTTGCCCATTGCCGTGCGCCGACGATTGTACACCGACAGGTACAGTGTCATATCTCCCAGTTGGAACAAGGCAACCTGCAATGGTTTTTAGCATTGGTTATCGACTTTCTTTTTTATCCTGCCTTATTACTTTTTTTCTTATTGTCAGTTTATCGATTTATCGGCGAAATGCGGAATCCTTTGAGAAAATTCGAAAAATCTAGGATCTTCTTTTTGCTAGCGACGTTTATGGATATATATTTTTTGTACTTCACGACTTCCAGAAGCACGTGCCGTTAACGAAAGATATTTTGAATCAAGACATTTTAAATGTACTAGAAATTGAGATCATGATTGAATATTTCTCGTAGAGATTGGCTGTCCAAACATTGCTCCTCTCTAGTGTTCATAAATTATAAATACTACTTTGTGCGTAGTATAGTAATTTTATGAAATTTATGTTATTGAGGTAACAAAATAAAAAATTAAATAGAATAAACGCTATGAACGAATGATCCGCGCATCGTTATTCTTTATCACATCATCAATAAAACTTTCCGGAAAAGAAAATCTCATAATGGAGCAGACGGCTGAGTAATGAATGAAAGAGAGAACGGAATCCCTCATGCAAATAATGAAATGAAAGGAAGTCGGTTAATAATAAATCTCTCACCTGAAAAATGAATGTCTCTTTGTAGAGAGGATTTGGTTGAGCACGCCTGAGGCTCGTTTTAGCTCGTCCCATCTCATACCCATTGCTGTCGTAGAGTGCAAGTTTGACGTACGTGTCGGGTGGCTTGGTGTCGTTGCCGCAAGCACCACGGAAATGCGAGCCCTTGATTATCTCCACGGATAATCTGCCGGTCACTCCGTTGTACGTTAACCCGACAAGCAATTCGGCCACGCTGCCACCTTTCATGCTGCTGCCGTACGGTGGGGTCGTTGGCAACGCGTACGATTGTACCGATTGCTGTGAGCCAGTCGAGTCGCTGCGCGTCAAGCTTGCCGTCGTTCCCCATTCTTGAGCCTGTGACCGCGAACACATTTTCGTTTGATCGTGCATATAAATCGATACGTTCGATTTCCTCGTATGAGAGTTCCGATGGAATCGTCACATTCAGGCTGTTCAATCAAACTGAAAGCTTTCAATCCTATATATCGAACTGACGAAATATAATACGTATATCGATCCTCGCTTCCCCGAAACAACAACGTGTTATTGGCTTAACCCAATCCTTCTATCATCCTCCTCCTATATAAAATAGTGATGGGTTGTCAAGTGAAATCATTTTATTCGTGATCTGATTGGTTGAATGTAGTCACGTGAGTCACAATTATGAGTAAATAAGTGCTAAACAATAAATCGAGGAGTTTTGCATCGAATCATTCTCAATAATTTAGATGAATAAAAATAATTAAGACAATTTGTAGGCATTGAAAAGACAATAACAGCCACATTCTCTCAACGGTCTAACCGTAAACTAATACGATAAAGTAATTTTAATGCACTGCAATACTCTAATTAAATGTATTTATAAGACATACAAATTTATCGATTATGGTAAAGTTCAGCTTATAATAAATATCATCAACAATGAAGGAAATTATAAATCGATATTTCATATAAAATTCTGTTAATTGATTTCGGTGCAATCAGCGCTACGGTACCGTTAATTTAAGAAAAGAATTTTAGGAACTTAATTCATAAATGTAAAAAACTCATCAAAAAGTCACGGATGAACAGTTGAAAAAACAGTTAAAATAACATATCTGTTGATATGGAGATATTTTACAAAAAGCTATAAATCAATCAATGTTAAACAATGATGAAAATGAAATTGTCAGGCGCAGATGACGGTTGTGTTTATTTGAAAAAGAAAAAAGAAAAACTAAATTAGTGCGCTGAGCATTATTTACGCAGGTAAACACCTGAAAATCTGTTACGTTAATAGATTTGAAATGATTGCTAAATCAATTGATATCAACGTATGATATTGATGTATATGGTATGAATTGTTTTACGTATGTAGTGTCTTTCTTTTTTATTACACCTGTAATAATTTTGATTTGATTGAAGCATAAAACTGAATATTACTGAATACAATCGAGAGACGAGTGCGCTAGGTGCGCTTTATGACACTAGTAAACATAAAATTCCGATTGTCTGGAGGCGCTCTCTTCGATAAATTAATGTGGTACACAATCCAATGCAAGAGATAAATCGATAAATATTTTGTCAGCAATGGATACTTGTGATCGGTCGTACGCCCCTCTCCCTGCCTCGTTTCAATATTAATCTAAAAATTACATACGAATTCGCGATGCAGCGATATATCGCGTTTAATTGACCTTTACCCGGATCGATTTCGAAGATAATTGGGTATAGCGAGGTTTGGCATTCGCTTGAATATTTAATGATACAACGGCACACAACAAATCACTCGAATGCTGTCGGCCTGCCAATGTCGTGCGATTAATAATGATAACTCACCGAAGAGGAGGGTGGAGGTTGTAAGGTGAGCCATAGCGTAGTCTCAAGGCGTAAATTGATACTGTCAAAGGAGACACGAGCTTCGCCAAGTAGCCGCTCCCTTCGCATCCGACCACCCCACAAATACACGCGTACTCGTATGCCCATGGCATTCACATCCTCTGGATTGACTCGTGGCAGCAGGAAACTTTCCATGTACTGTGGTGAGTTGCCTTGGCGTACTCGGGTCTTGCGACGTTGCTTTTTGGATGGGAGTAGTACAAGACGCACTTGGCTGCCGTTTATGCCAGACGGATAGTTACGTCCTTGGAGAACGTGGACCTGCGCAACGGGTGGCATCTCATTCGTTAATTTTCATGATCGAGCGAAACGAAATACGCCTTAGATCGACCAGCCGCGGCTATTATTGCTGAAGGTAGTATAATCATGTAAAATGACATTTGTTTGTCAGTTTTTATCCGTATCAAATGGTTAAATCGATAAGCTGTCACGTGCATACAAGTCTAGTTGGAAATGTTGAACGCGATACGTAGAATACATCAAAGCTTAGTCAGCCGTGACGTGGCGTAATAACTGCTCAAAAGTTTTATGTCGTATTGATTTTTAGTTGATATCGCAACATCACGCGAATAAAACGTAAACACCAACCAATTCGGAAAGAAAATAGCAATACGTGTTACACAGGCCAATTAAAAAAGAAACTGTTTTTTAACGGTGCATAACTTCTTCTTTCAATGATCTCGCATCTTAGTTAATGTATCAAATGATATTTGAATAAAATTAATATAATTACGAACCGTCATCTCTCGCATAGGTGCATCATAGAGGAATGCGACTTCCAGACTTGCCATCTCTTCAGTCGAGGTCGCGAGCGAGGTGACTGTGTCAGTTGGCGTTGTGGCGACATTCTCATCGATTGTCGTTGGTTCATTCTCTTGCCTGTTATCGAGAATAACAGTAGGAGAGCCTACTTCAACTATGCACTGCAGAAACATACGCAATCCGTCATTAACGTCGTCATTCATTACATGGTAAGGACAGCTTGAATTATTTATCATCTTACTTGTTGTTGATCTGTAGCATTGTTGTTGTCCTCGGTACAATTGTTGTTGTTATTGGTTGATCCAGCATCTACGATATTAATTAAAAGTTAGCTTACGCACGCGATTTATATAGAGTGACGAGAGTGAACTTTCTCGAGATTGAAAATCTAGGAGATACCTGGAATAACCGACAGTCCATCTTCAGCTTGGATCGTCAGTGTATCTGGGGGCGGATGGCTTCGGCAATTCAACCGACGTAAAGCGTCTTCTTCCGAATCCGAGCTTGTCTCTGGATCCGGAAATGGATAATTCTTAGCTATACGCAAAAAAAAAACAAAAAAAACGAGTGATTCTATTTTGATTTTTTACGATTGTGAAATAGCACTTTCCAAGTTTTCGAAAGAACAATCCGAAAAGAAAACGTATTTGGCAAGCGACAAAACGGTCGAGTATTGGAGCAATACCTAGATTCTGAGGTGGCGCGCCGTTGTTAGACTCGCCAAGTGGCACGCAGACACCGCCGAAGAGTGTCGTTGTGGTAACGGGCGGCGTGGAGTACCACTTGCGCGACAGGTACAACACCACCACCAGTAATAATACCACGAAGCCAACGCAGGCACCCAGAAACGCAGTCGTTTCCACTGTTGCGTGACAGATAATACCTTCTTTTAGCATTTTGTTATAATTAACTTGCGAGCCATTGGCTCGTTAACGTCGGTCGTTATGTGCGGAAAATTGCGGGATGAAGAATAATGCTCAAGATAGTTTCACAAGTATAACTGCAATGAAAGAGTTCGTGTCGTTTGTAAATAATAATGCAAATCATCAATCGCCTTTCATAATCAAGAAACTGTCCGAAAGTTGAAATCGATTTAAGTTTTTGTTTGCCGAGTGCTGATTCGATAATAACGTACATAATTTCATCAGCTCAAGTTGTTTACTGTAAACATAAGCCATGTAAGCTTTCATTCAAAGAGCTTATAGTTTATTTATAATTTTGTTCACATTACGTCGCGCGTTACGCATCATCTTTGTGATACACATCAAATATACATTAATGATCTAGTGTTGAGTCATCCAACTAATGAATAAAAGAGGGCCAAGCGCGTGTGTATTGACTGTAAATGATTGCTTGAAAAATAGAGTAAACAAGAAAGTGGAAAGGTTTATAGACGGCGTAGTGAGTCAGTTCTTGTGATTGGACGCGTCGAATGTTCGGTCTCGCCGGGTGAGTACAATATTTCAAGCGGTTCACTTTCTTGTCGGCGGTCATTGCGATTTCCCTCTGCGTATATTTTACTTAACTTAAATTAACAGATATTTGACCGTATCTCTCTTCTCGAAAAAAATAATTTAGTAGACTGCGATCATACTTTATAATAGAATCGCCTATTTGAATATCGATAACATTGTTCGCGTCATTAGCTAAGAGACAACGGTGACTTTTCTTTGATAATAAAACAATTCTTTTACTGCGTAGTAAGCCAACATCACGACGAGTAATGGCAAAGTAGTGACCTGTTTATTTTTTTCTTTTTAATGATCAACCTTCCGGATAAGACAATCAAATTTATTAACAAAGGGATAGATAAAGAGGAGGGGGACTTAACGTGCTACATAAGCTAGTCCAAACTGTAAATTGATCTCGAGAGTTATATCAGGTGTAAGTAGCAAGCGAGGCTCGTTAAAGAATGGAGAACGTCGATAAAATATCGAAGAGAGAGCGAGCGGAAAATCCCGAAGAATAGAAAAATTATCCGGCGAACAAGGCGTTGCGCAATGCGGTTTGTCCTCTAACGATGCGAGTCGTACATCGGCCAAAACGGTCAATTGGTAGCGTCACGGTAGCACAGGTAGACGCAAAGCTCGCACCTGACTTTCCCGTGCGAAGCTGCAGTCGCGTATTGTGCCACGATATGCTTCGCAGAATGCGCGACCACCCGCGAGACCTTGACAGCAATTCCCCCGTAGCACTCGTGGGAAAAACATCGCGACGAGGTGCTGCGCCCTCCCCCTTGCTCGCGTCTACGTACAGACACGGCTATAGACTTGCATATCGGCTTTCTGGAATATTCAGCAGCCACCAGCGGCAGGCCGGATTTACGTATTGTGCTGGCGATCAATTAGCTTCGCTTTGGCAACAAACGCGTCGCGGACAAAGGCAAGCAAGCTATCCGTCGTTGTCGAGTGTAGGGAGGAGAAGGAGAGAAAGAGGGGCTGGCTACGCAAGATGGACTTACCCGCAAGCAAATGGTCTGATCCGGCCAGAGTCATACTCGGCTAGTAGTCCAGCAAAATATCAGCCTCAGGGCTGTTCGGCCTCTTTGGGCTTCTTGCGGACCGCACCGCGGAGCATCTCACTCTCCACGCGACCAGCAGACGCACTCTTTTCTGTCCGATCCTGGGGGATCCTCGACGGTCCCCCCAACGCGCACGCACGCCGACGATTCGCGCGCTCTCTCTCTCTCTATCTCTCTCTCTCTCTCTCTCTCTCTCTGTTGTTCACAGCCCACACCACTAGCTGTTGCTTGATGCGCTGCTCTACTGCCGCCACGGACTACGCCGCTTGCCACTGGATTCTACCAGTATTTCCTGCCACCACCACTACTGCCACCACCCCCTTGAGCATGCGCCCCTTTGAGCGACGGATAAATGAGCTTGCTAAGCTGAGCTTGAGAGGGCCAACGATATGTGTTTGGCTCTTCACTTAGATTTCTTGTTTTTGTCATTAGGGATTCCCGATGCGATCAACTGTGAGCCGCTTTATTCGTTTTTATGTGATTTTTTTGTAGCCGTGGTAATTAGCTCAAATTACCTACTCTAGCGCGAATATTGATCAATGAAAAGATTTGAAAAGAATTTTGCTTATTCGGGATCCATTGTTTCTTTTATACATTTGTTATTTTATTTATATTCAAAAAACGAAATTGTCCGATCGTAGCGGATTTCTTCTACTGGCAAGGCTTAAGCTGGACTATTTTTACATTTACGGTAAATTTTTTCCCGTAATCTCGAATGATATTAATTTTATCCTACTTCAAATGTTATTTCTCTGCCCGCACGTGCGAGTGTACATATGTATGACGTAAATGTTTATCAGTGTGCCGCTCGGTGTTGACGCTTTCGAATTTGCTACCCCTTATATTGGATATGACACGTGAAGTAACTGAGGGCTGAGGAAGACAAATGTGATTCATTCTCCTTCAAATGCTGAATTCCAATTTCGCCTCCGGCACTTTTCGCCAATTCTGCTGTAGAAGACAAATAACGTAAGCAGATCAGCTTAGATCCTTCGTATGCTGTTTGTGCTTGTGTTATCGAAAAGGGCTTTCGCTTGTTGATTAGATAAATAAAAATGTTCATAGTTACTTCAAAATATTCTTTTATTCAACTCACGTATGTTAGCAATATAGTTTCTCGGCTTTCGTTTAATTTGTTATAAATTTAATTGAGAATTTTTTAATTAAAAAAACAAAATTCTCTTTATAATCTGATTTTTATATATGATTTTTCTAAAAAACATTTTTTGATTTGTTGATTATTTTGATAACTTATTATTCAAAATGAATGCGTATAATCATACAATGTTTTTTAGATTTCTTTCATGCATTGTGTTGTTTTAAAATCAATCAAATATACTAAATATCCGTGGAAATGTATTCGTTGCCGTGGAATTCCTGCTAAAAGTTTTTTCATATATATACGTATTTCAAATATATACATATTGCGGAAGTCAGTTCTTTTTGTGATTCACCGAATATAGATATTTTGTCAAAGTATTTCATTTAAAGCTGTATATTTTGAATGTGAAAATTTTCTAATTGTTATATAAACATATCAATCGCATTACTTCCTAGCATTAGTACATTAGAAAGTTTGTCTTTCTCGTCAATTTTATGATAATCAACAAGATAGCGTAAGTATATATGTAACTACTAAAGTAATGAAAGAATGATCGATCTTGTAATTTTTCTCACTCTTTCAAAGAAGCATTTCGCTAATGTAGTTGACAGCGATTTTTTTAATGTAGAAATTTTATTCATGCTTTGCTGCGTAAGAACAATCTACGCATTCGGTATGTGCAACCATGTTATTTATTATAGATACATGTAAGTGTAAATAAGTTAGCGTAATTTGTTAATAGCATACACATGTGTGAAGAAGTTTTTACGCGATTGAAACGGCGTCATCATTGGAAAGTTTTTTTTTACAGCTACTTATAATACCTACCTTATATTAAAGGGATTACTGTATATTATACGTAGGACTTGTATGCCATTTCATTTAAGCTATGAGTAATAAATGTTCATTCATTTCCATCATAGCCACATTTTAAAGACGATAAATTTAAATCCATATAAATTTATTAATATCTTGATCGTTGGTTATAATTAACAGCTTATATTTTTGTTAATATGTGATAACTATTTACTTATCATAAATCAATCTTATATATGTTTCTGACAGAATTACTTTTTATTGAAGTAACTTGCATCTAATATTACAATTCGATTGAATAAGTAAAATTAATTTTTCAGGTAACTTAAGCGAAAGATTTTGTACAGATTTAGTTCTTATTTAATACAAATAAGTACAAATCGACATAATATGCAGGGAATAATTTATGTACATATAAATAACAATACTTTTGAAAGACCATAATTTTATAAGCTTCAATGAATTATCAAAGAAAAATAAGAACTTTGTACCTGCGACCTGTGAAACTGTCAAAGGTACCGTTCAAGGAAACAGTATAATCAAAAAAAATCCGATTTAAAGTATAATATATACTCGTATGAACATATATATGAGTGAACGACTACTAATATTTTAATATGAATGGTTGTAATCTACAGATCGACTGAACGTGTTACTAAATTTGATTGAACGTGAAAAGAATGAAAAGTTAATGAAAAGGGATTTTAAAAGTACAGATTATTTCAATCAACATTATTCAATAATTTTTTTCAGATATTTTACAACCATAACATATTTCTTACCGTTTGGGCGAACAAAATCATGTCAAAATTTGATATGATTTAACAAGCAGCCGCGCTGGAAACGTTGAGAAAGCGAATAATTAAGATAAAGCAACTTAACAAAGATAAAAATACACCGCAACAAATGAATTCTGCTGATCTTCAATTTATTTGCTACTGCTACATATAGTATATTGAATAATATCGATATAAAAACAGATCTGATAAATTATTCTATTATAGTATATTTAAATAATAATTGACAAATGTTAATTGTAAACGATTTAAAAACCGATTGTTTTTTTCAGCAAGCACATTTAAAAATAGTTATCAACATCAAGCTCGATTTAAACGATAATATATGAAAGAAGAAATGAGAAAATTTTTCAAAAACATGGTTTTAAATTTTTACACAGTATAACAAGAGAGGAGCATTTAAATAAATATTAATAAATATTTTTAATTATTATAACTAATACACTCCATGCTATATAAACAAATGAGCAATAAACAATTTTAGAGAATCATCTCATATTAAACAACAAAACTAATCAGATCCAATGTTTCTAATAGTAAATTAACGTTTCGTTGACTCCTATTTGTCAGCCTCTTCAAGGTTCTTTTAATAATAAAGACTATTACATAAGTCATACAATATTTATACATATAAACATAATTAAAGACAATAGATAGTCACAAACAATACTCACATACATATATGCATGTATAATCAAACTTTCATAACACAACTCTTATACTCATAAAAAACGTCTAACTTTTACAATGTTTAAGAAAATTCAAACTTGTAGATTTATTGTTTCTGGTCATTTAAATAAACAGGAACAACGTAATAGACGTTTTAACGTAAGCGTTGTATTATGAGAGTTTGATTATATACGTATGTATGTAAGTGTTGTTTGTGATTATCTGCTGACTTTAATTATGTTAACTAATTATATGACTTATGTAACGTTATCTTTATTAATACAGGAACCTTGAAAAGGCTAACAAACAGGAGTCAGCGAAACGCTGGCTTAATATTAGAAAAATTGGATGTAATTAGTTTTATTGTTTAAGATGGCATGATTTTTTAAAATCGTTTATTGCTCATTTGTTTCTGTAAATGTTTTTTTTTTTGTAAATTTTGTAATAATATATAATAGCTTATTTAGTAAATTAAATTGTGCATGTAAATATACATTTATTCATGATTGTTTTGATTACAGATTATATTTGTGCTATGTATGTAAATAAAAGAAAGTGATTGTAATTTTCAAGCAATTTTCATAACATTATTAAAAAATGTTTATTTCATAATTTTTATAATTGAACAAAAAATTTACAAGCTCCCATGGAAGAAGAATCTACAATTAATCATATATTACGCTCTATTACGTTACCGACTGAACAGAAAAAAGCTTGGAAAGCTTTTTATTCAAATTAATGAATATATTATAATTCATTGAACTTTTTTGAGCTCATTCATTGCACATAAACAAAGTTCGGTTAATTCTTATTTTAATAAAAAATTTCTTGGAATTAATTAAGGAAAACTCTAATCACAGTAATTCAAAGTTTTTGTCTTATTTGCAATATTTTTATGAAAATAAGATCATTGAATGCATTTTGTGTATGCACAGTGAATGTCCCCACCAAGTTTATTCATCTTAGATATTTAAAAAAAGCTCTACATACTCAGTCGGTAACACAATAGAACTTATATATATATATATATATAGCATAACTGATTTCCCGTTTGCCCTGCGTGTAGTGCTATATAGTGTACGACTAACGAATATACATATATATATATATATATATATATATATATATATATATATATATATATATATATATATATATATATATATATATATATATATATATATACATATATAGAATATACATATATATATATAGAATATACATATATATATATACCAGACATGAGACAGCACATGTCTACATGTAGATTGTAAGTGTCGATAAACATGGCTCCTCGCTAGTGACACTCTTAATTGTTAAATAAAGTTATATTTAAATAAATTTTATCAACATTCATTGCTTCGTTATGTACAAAAATTCAAGTTTATTTAGATATTTAAGTAAGTCGCAAATTTAATAAATTACAGGTTTTAATTGGTTCTGCCGGATAACCTCTTCCTCGAACATTTTATTACAAGAATTCGTTCGTAATTTAAAAAATATATTGAAAAATATTCCTATAACATTTATAATATTCCAAGATAATAATTTTATTACAAAAATATATGTCGAAATCTTATAATTGAAATATTAGGAAAAGATTATACAGGTAGAAATTGTGGTTCAATTGAGGTTTTTTTCATAAAGTACTTTTGTTTTTAGGATTGAATAATTATGAGCTTCCCTGTACTACTGCAGGTTACACGATGTAGAACTTTCAACTTCAACAACTATGCGTTTGAAAAGTGTATGAAACACTTGAGACCAAGATTATATTATAACAATAACGATAGTACATATAATAAAAAACATGAACTCAAGAATCAAAGGCACTCAAGAAGAAAGGAGATTAAGGCACGCTTCATACTGAATGTTCAACAAACTCGAGAACAAACAAAGCAAAGAGTAGAAAAAATTAAAAGAAATGTTCAACAGACCAAACAAAAAGTAGAAGAAATCATAGAAAGAGAAAATATTTATACTATTCCAAATTTTTTATGTATAGGAAGAATATTATCAACTCCTTTTTTGGGCTATTTGATTGTATCACAAGATTATGAGGTAAAAATTATGTAAATTATAACTATATAATATTACTTTTAGTTATACATAAAAATATTTTGTATTTAGATAGCTTTGTGGTTACTTGGTTTTGCTGGTTTTACCGACTTAGCTGATGGATGGGTTGCACGGACATGGACTTCACAAGCTTCAAAGCTTGGTAGCTTTCTTGATCCAGTTGCTGATAAACTATTGGTTGGCACAATGTTTCTTACATTAACATGGGTTGGATTGATCCCCATACCTCTCACATGTCTAGTAGTTCTAAGAGATATTACTTTAATAGCTGGAGCATCTTATGTTCGTTATAAATCATTACCTCCACCAGTAAGTTCCAATTAAACAAAATTATTGAAAAAATATAAATAAAAAAATTATAAATCAATTAATCAAAATTAATGCTTTAATTAATTTCATTATTTTGTAATAACGAATAAAATTATTTTACAGAAAACATTGGTAAGATACTTTGATGCAACACATGCTACAGCACAGTTGGCTCCAACATTTATAAGTAAGCTGAACACAGGCATTCAATTATTATTAGTAGCTGGAACATTAGCAGCTCCAGTATTTCAATTTGTGGACCATCCAGTTCTCCAAGGACTTTGCTATCTCACTGCATTTACAACAATTGCTGGTGGTGCAAGCTACTTAGTATCAAAGAATACTTATAAAATGCTATCAAGGAATAGTAGTTCAGTAAAGCAGTCCTCTTGTAAAAATGAGAATTAATTGAAAAATAATGTAATTATGTACATATTTATTAAATTTTGTTTTGAAATGATAACCTAATTATTTACAAAAAATGAATATCTCTGTTAATCTAATGAAACATCTGATCAAAGTAGTAATGTTCATAAGCAGTTTCTTCAATGTGAGATGGATCATATTCTACAGCGATATAATCAATTTCTAAATGGAAAGGTCCACTAATTTTATCAGCAATAGTGAAACTAATAGATCCTATTTCATTTAATGAAACATTTTCGTTCTTTATCTGTACTCTCCCTTTGTAGGCAAAGAAAAATTTTGAAAAGGGTATTCTCACATATTGCCAATAAGGACCTCCTCTTGTCCAAATGAAATAATGCCATGTATCATACTGCGTTATGTCAGAGTGTCTTTGGGAATGTAAATTTACTGAATAAACTCGTCCATCACCCCTTATATGAAAAACTAAGTGTGTATATAAATCCCAATTATACTGTTTTCTATTACAGAAAGGAGAGAGGCTTGGTAACAGTTTTGCATTGCAAAACCCTGTATTCTTTATTCTTCCATCAGATGGTAGTCTAGTATCCAGAAATCCATGGAATAATCCTTTTGAATATTGAGTGAAACATAGTCTGTAAAGTTTTTAGCATTGAAATGTAATATAATTGTGAAAATAAATATTTCAAATAACTTAGAAACATTAAAATTAAAAAGCTTGTTGTAGCTTTTTGTATCGAGTATAATGCTGTTTATTTATAACTATAAGTAGTTTTGGCAAATCTTGAGAGTATAAAAAGTTTATTAATTTTGAGAAAGTAAGATTTTATAAATAAACTTACTCTGCTGTTGAGTGTCCAATACTATGATCACTATCTGTAGAGACAATCCATTTCTTTAATTCTTCAGGATTTCCAGTAAATCTCCAAACAGGTTCTAATTGATGTTCATGTAATATAAGTCTTGGTCCAGTAACCATCTGATCTTTAAAATTGATCATTGCCTGTTGCATAGCACTTTTCCACAATTTAAATTCATAACCTACTTTTTGTTTGAAAGTTAATGATTCAAAATTTTTTTGTTCTTCTGGTTTCTTCCAAAATCCATCTTTATCAGGAGATTCATAAAACAAATATACACATTTCGAGGTATGAAGGTGTTGTTTCATTATTTTCTGTACAAAGGGCTGGCCCCATTGTAATGCTTTCGCAAACTAGAAATCGTCATTGAAAAAATGGAACATATTATTAATTTATTTTATTGAATTACCTATAAAATTTTATAATCATTAAAATTTCGGTACTTTTAAAAATAAAATGATGTAACTTTAAGTCATGCAAGTTCAATGAAAATAATAACTAAAAGAGTTATAATTACCATGTTGTGTATAGCAATTGGTTTAATAATAATCAATTTTCCATTGCGTTACTGAGTTTTATTTGATTTTTTATTTTACGTCTTGTCATATATATGTGTAATAAAAATAACGCTACATTCTAATTTTATTCATCACGCGTTTACTTTACTTCTGCTATGGTATGTATTATACTTATATATCACAATTCACAGCATGCCAGTATGGTTAAAGCACTCGCAATAGAATATGCTCAAAAACCACGAGTAAACCTAACCTTAGTATGTACCATGAAATGTTGGAGATGTTTGTGTTCGTGTTGCGCTATACGTGCATTATATGTGAATCTGTACACCGGCTGTCTGTCGTACGCCGTATAGCGAGTCAGTCTCTCAGTTTTTAAAGTAGCAAGCATGGCTAGTATGGCTACAATTAGATTATTGAAACGTAACTCTTTAGTTTCTTTATATAATAAACAAAGACATAAAATCAATTACAGTTCACAAGAAAATTTTCAATCTGATTCAAGCTCTTTGCAAAGTTCTGAAACTGCAGCAACGTTTTCTAATGGGTATTTATGCTTTTAACGTTTTTTAACCTCTTATATTTATTATTTATTTTTATTTTTTTGCATTATTTATTTATTTTTATTAAAGAATATTTTTTATAAAAATTAAAGTTTTAAACTCTCTAATAGTCTTATTATTTATTCTTATTTCAGAAGGCAAATAAAGTTTTCAACAGGAAAATTAGCTCGTTTAGCTGATGGATGTGCAATAGCAACTTTAGGAGAAACATCTGTAATGGTTACAACAGTCAGTAGATCTCATGCTTCTAGTACATCATCTTTTGTACCTCTGGTTGTTGACTACAAACAAAAAGCTGCAGCAGCTGGACGCATTCCAACTAATTTTTTAAGAAGAGAGCTTGGTCAGACTGAACATGAAATATTGACAAGTAGATTGATAGACAGATCTTTGAGGCCTTTATTTCCAGAGAAGTATAACTATGAGACACAAGTAATATGCAACATGTTAGCTTTAGATGGAAACAACGACTCTGATGTACTTTCTATCAATGGAGCTTCCGCTGCTTTAGCAGTATCAGATATCCCATGGAATGGTCCAATTGGTGCTGTGAGAATTGGTTTAATAGATAATGAAGTAATAATAAATCCTACTCGGCGTGAAATACAACAAAGTTCTTTAAATCTTATTATAACAGCTGCACAGCATAATTTAATTATTATGATGGAAGGATCAGCCAATAATGTATTGGACCAAGATATGAGAAAATCTATAAAAGCTGGAGTAAAGGAGTGTCAATCTATAATCCAAGCAATTGAAACACTTAGGAAAAAATCTGGCAAAGTTAAAAGAATAGTAGAGCCACCGGCAGAGCTTCCAGAAGATATTAAAGAATCAGTAGAATCTTTATCTGAAATGAAACTTCGTGAAATATTTACAGATCATAAACATGATAAATTATCCAGAGATATTGCTCTCAGTAATCTTAGGAATGATGTATTAACTACTATGAAGTCAAATTATTCAGATCTAGATGTGGCCTTAACTGCAGAAGCTTTTTCAGACTGTAGTAAAAAAATTTTCAGATCTCTTATATTTGAATCTGATCGCAGGTAAATATTTGAAAAGTTATTATTAAAAAATGTTCTATAAAATTACTTTCATTAAAATCATTATTTTTTTCAGGTGTGATGGAAGAAAATTGAATGATATCAGAAATATTTCATGTCAAATAAATTTATTTAAACCTCTTCATGGTTCTGCACTATTTCAAAGAGGTCAAACTCAAGTGCTTTGCACTGTAACCCTGGATTCACCAGATAGTGCTTTAAAAATGGACACAATATCATCATTAGCAAATGGTGTAAAAGAAAAGAACTTTTTTTTACACTATGAATTTCCACCTTTTGCTACTAATGAAACAGGTAGGACTGGTCCTGTAGGTAGAAGAGAAACAGGTCATGGAGCTTTGGCTGAAAGAGGGTTACGAGCTATTTTACCAAAAGATTATCCATTTGCAATTAGATTAACTAGTGAAGTTTTAGAATCCAATGGTACGCTATTTGCAAAAATTTCTGGTTGTTGAAAGTCCTAAATAGTAAAATCTTTATCATTTTGTATTGTAGGATCATCATCAATGGCATCTGTATGTGGTGGCAGTTTAGCTTTGATGGATGCTGGTATTCCAGTTACTACACCTGCTGCTGGTGTTGCTATAGGATTAGTTACAAAATATGAAAAGGATACAAGGCATCTGGTGGATTATAGAATCCTCACAGACATACTTGTAAGCAAACGTTATTAATTTATATCTCAATGTTAATTTAATCATTAAACATAAATTTTATTTTTCATATTGTATTATATAATTGTTTTATTTATATCTAGGGACTTGAAGATTATTTAGGCGACATGGATTTCAAAGTGGCTGGTACCAGGAAAGGTATTACAGCATTACAAGCTGACATAAAAGTTTCTGGATTACCATTAAAAATTATAATGGAGAGTCTTGATCGAGCTAATGAGGCCAAAAATAAGATTATAAATATTATGAACCAAGTAATAGCAACACCAAGAATTGAGAAAAAAGATAATATGCCCATTACTGAAGTTATTGATGTGCCAGTACATCTTAGAGGAAAGCTGTTAGGGGTTGGTGGAAGTAATGTCAAAAAGATATTTCTTCAAACAGGTGTTCATGTAAGTTTCTAATTTTATTTAAAATATGCCCAGTAATTCCCTGATAATAAACGTAACAATTTAATAATAATTTATTTTTACAGATAAACCACGATGAAAATACTCGATTCGTTTTATTTGCACCAAATCAAACTGCAATGAACGAGGCAAGAGAAACCATCGACGAAATACTCAAGCAAGATCGTGAACCCAAATTAGAATTTGGAGGAATTTACACTGCAACAATCGTCGAAATCAGAGATGTAGGGGTGATGGTAATTCTTTATCCTAATATGCCACCAGCTCTTCTTCACAATTCTCAGTTAGATCAAAGGCAAGTTACACATGCGAGTGCACTTAATATGGAAGTTGGTCAAGAAATACAAGTGAAATATTTTGGTAGAGATCCAGCATCCGGTGCTATGCGACTATCACGCAAAGTTCTGCAAACAACAAATTTAGCTATGAAAAACTTAAACAGGACTAATTCCTGAATTGATGGTTCTTATTTTTTTATTACGTTGCGGTTTCATAGCATTTTTAATAAAGTGTAAAGTGTGAAAGTTATTGATTCATATTTTTATTAATTTTTAAATATGCAAATATGTAAAGATGTGATCGTACATTGTAAATTCGCTAAACTTGAAAAAAAACTCCTATTTTCTGTTTACCTTGTCGACACGATGATCGCATTAGAATAGAAAGTAAACCAGTTGTTGTAAATAATTATTTAAAATAATCTTTTTATAAAATATATTTTATTACAAGACTACATAAACTCTACTTATTTATTTTATGTAAATGTGAAATACAGAAATTTTTATTATGAACAAGTTATGTATCGATTTCGGAACATCGTGCAACTTGATTATAACTCGCCTTCGGCTCGTGCCATAAACTTGTTTTATAAATAATTAAATAATTTTTAAAAAGTATCTTCAATTCTCACATGTTAAAGCGACTCTACATTTTGTCTGAAGGTTAATTATTAGAATGGTCATGATATCAACGTCGCTATTTTTTCCTCCTTGGCGAGTAAAAAAATTAAGCTACAAAATATTTAAAAAAAACATGATGGATAAGTTACATATATTTCATTAAATTTTTACTGAATTTTCAGCACAGGAATCTTATAATAAAAATTTTAAATATGATCAATAATAGTTTTAAAGGACTTTCTACATAAGAGCCGATCGACAGTGTGCACGAAGTTATAAAAATAAATCAATTATTTCACATTAATTCATAAAATAAAAATAAATGTTCCACATGATCTTTTCAGACCACACACAAATCTTTGGTAAGATAATGACAAACAACCAATTTGTTTTTTTACCTCGGTATTCATCTAACATCCAATGTTTGACGTCCAATGGCTCTTATGTAGAAAGTCCTTAAATCATGATTAAGTATCAGTGTAACTGCTGTGTCTCATATCAAATCGTGGTAATATTTAATGCAAATTGAATTTTCGAATTTTCAATTTCGCCAATAAAAGTTTTGATCTATATAAAAAAATAATGCTTGAACCATTTTTCAGTGATAAAAACCGACTGATACCTCAATAGAGAAATTAATTGAACTCTATATGTGAAAGTTTAACTTCAAATAAACAAAGTAGACAATAAAAGATACAAATCGAATGATAATCCCAATAAAATATTATACAGTGATTTTGGCTTTATTCAATTATATAAAATATTGAAAAACTTTTGAAAATGCATCTAATCACAACCGTGAACGTCTAATACAGTATTTTATTTTCATTGTGAAAGATATATGATTATAGAAAATTATGTTTTCAGAACCTATACTGTACTGTGTTTATCTTTATCGTATTTTTAAACTTGACTTTTAATAATATTTGAACACAGAATTTCGAACGACTAAAATTTTATTGATCACATTTTAAAATGATAAGTACATTAACGTGACTGCATATTTATTTACCAACAAATAATATCGTCGTTTAGACATATTATCAAATCATAGAAATATTTAACGCATATTGAATAATCGAATTTTTAATGTCTCCAATAAAAGCCTTGATCTATATTCCTGCATTAAAATAAATACGAAAGAATCCAATAACCCAAAAAGATGAACGCGCAAAACGTGCTGGACATCACAAGTACCTATTTATAAATAGTTTAATTCTAAATGAGTGGAATTGATTCTTCAAAAGATTTCCGATTACAGTTTTCTGCAAAATAGGCTTTGTGATAAGATTAATTACCACTGACACAATAATAATGATGTTTATTTAAAATGTCTAACTTTATGATTGGGATTCCTATTAAATTCTGTATTTTTTATAATTCGCATAATTTTTGTAATTAAATACTTCTCACTATATCAATATATTAAATAAATATCAAATTGACTCATTAATTCATATATACTGACCATTTAAATCACAAAATCAATGAATTATAAATTAATATATCTCAGATATATCCATATTTTTCGTTTAATTTTTAATTATTTCAGCTATGTTGTTCACAATTGTATTTCTGTTCTTTCTAATATCAGTTTGATGATAAAACATTGTTTTTTTTTTCATTTTTTTGAAAATAAAAAATCATTTAAATTTAAAATCATTTAAGATTAAAAAATTAGAATACATGATGATGAAAATGATGAAAATTTGATTTGCAAAGATTTAAACGTATGTCTAAATTTTCATAGTTTTATCTTGGATGTAATTGGCTCAGATTTATTGTAAAGTTCTTTAATAACGTGTCTAAAATCCAATTAATATACACTTCATATATCCTAAAGCATTTGAAAATTTACCTAATTTAAAAAATATTTAGATTTATCAACAACGATTTTGATGTATCTGTTGTTATGAAAGACAATTTTTTGAACACAAAAACTAATTTAAAATAATTGTGCGCAGCAACAATTTTAGAAAAAAGCTTTCTTTTTTCTAAAAGGAAAAGAACTGTTTATGAAAAAAAAAATAGAAATGTATAGTCTATTCCATTTTGTTTCAAGCGTAATATTAATTACACTAACACTACACTCACTGTGACAGAAATATTTATCAGAACAACTTTTATTGACTTTGTGATTTTATACATTATTTAGATCTTAAATCAATCACTTTTTAAACCAATTTTTTAAAAAATGAGTAAGCTTTCTTTAAACAATTTAAGAGACTTACTGGATATTAATTTGGAAAACTTGGTAAGTTGAAAACATTTACCTATGAAATAAATTAACATAAATATATTTCTCACTCAATATTTCATAATGCAATATTTTTAACATATTTAAATATGACATTGAATATAGTGAAACAGATTCTTTCGATAGTATGACAAATTTCCAATTTCTAAATTAATCAAATAACTATTTGCAAAATATTCAAAAAAGCACCTTTTATCATCTGCAAAATGTATATATTTCAGTATTAATGCAAATTAAAATTAGATTTACAAATTCCAAATTGAAAATTCCAAATTTGATCAGTATGTTTCCAACGATAGAACAAAAAATCAAGTCAAATCATCAGACATGACAAATTTACACCTTCCCAAACGATCGGCATATATCGATACCCAAGCTTCATTTGTTGTACCCGATAATGTTACAATTCATCTAAGTGAAGATATTAATAATGTAAAACAACGTGATAATTAAAATACAAAGTATAATTCACAGTACGCTTGGAATGAAAAATATTTTTAATATTGAACGTGACTGTACGTTTTACTCATTCTAATATAATATTTTACTTATTATATTTATTTGCAATATAGTATATATAAATTTAACACGTGAAAAATTGTTATAATCAGTATTTTTATACAATTTTTAATCAATCTCGAATGAAATGAAAAGTATACTACGCTATCACACATTTTTTATAACCAATCATTTACCCTACGAAAAAAATTAATTTGAATTATGAACTTTCAATATTAAAGTTAAAAAAAATCAATGAAAGTTCTTTTAGCTGTGTATGTCAACGCCGACTGCAATAAAAGTATGTTTGTAATGAATGATTTATGAAAAGAATGTTATGCGTTCCCTTTTACATAGAGATTCAAAAATCGCATTTGGAACTGCAGTTTTATTAGTGCTTTGTAATCAAATTCGTGAAAATAGAATCGCACAAGTTGACACGCGCGTGATTTTGTTCAGACGACTCGTCAGTTTGCAACTTGTTCTCAAGCTCGCGCCTCCGTTTCAACGTAAGTAAAATTTGTCTACTTCACTTAAATATGAAATAAACTTCGCTAAATGACGCTTATTAAGTTCAAATTAAAGCTGCTTAAAAACAGAAGAAAATTATTATTAGAATTTGTTATTATTGATATATATTTCATAATAATATGTACTAACATTTTGCTATCTAAAAAAATCGTTTGTCACATGTAGCATATTGTTTGCTTTGCTCATCACGATTTGTTACCTATGAATGAATGCATTTATCTGAATAAATCACGATGGATTGAAATAAATAAAATCTAAACTTGTTGAAAACTCTACCGTTACGGAACGAAGACGGGTTCGGATTATTTTTAGCGATGAATATCGCTTGCAATTTTGTCTGTCCAAAAAAATTAGAATTATTCCAAGCTTAATAATAAAAGTTTTTGATAAAATAGGAATCGGCGACATTAAATCGGCAAAAATATTTCACTGTAAAAAAAACTATGGATATTGCTTAAAATAAATCCTAATTTACCAGATACTCAAGAGCAATAATGACGAAAGCAATCAATCATTTCCTCATCCTAAGTTTGCTATCGAGAAGCTTCGCGGACGCGAAGTCGGAGCCACAGAGCGAATCTCGCCACGTGGACGGCGGTAGGTGCGAAGATATGCGAGCCGGCTTGTCGCTGAATTTGCGCGACGTTGGACTGCGTCGCCTGGACTCGGGTTTCAGCGAAAGTCCGCACATTACTTGCTTGAACCTCGAAGACAACGACATCACTTACGTCTGTCCGAGCTCCTTCAACTCGCTGCCGAATCTTCTCTACCTGAATCTGGCAAGAAACCACCTGTCCCTCGGGAATTTTTCAAATCTCGATACGCTGCCGCGCCTGCGCACTCTTATACTGGATGGAAATTCACTTGGCGAAGGTGTAACTCTTGATTTTGTTAACGCGTTTCCCGAGCTCTCTTACTTGTACATTAGAAACTGCAGTATTGAAGATATCACCTCATTGTTGTTCGCGCCTCGACTGCTGTACTTGAACTTATCGTCGAACATTTTGGGAAAGTCCAAGCTCGGCTTTCTCGATGTGGTGCCTGCGACGTTGACAGCTATAGACCTGGCGTATAACGGCATAGAGAACTTGAACGCGAGTAGCTTATCCTCGGTGACCAGATTACGCCTCGACGGTAACCAATTCGTGAGGCTTTGCGGTAAGTCTTACTGTAGCGAGGCAGTGCTTATGCTCGAGGGAGTGACTAATCTGCGCTGGCTTTCGGCATCGAACAACGCGCTAACGAGCGTCGATTCCGATGCCTTCGACGACACCGCCAACATCGTGCACTTGGATTTGTCGCACAACAAGATCAACAGCATACAAAAAGGCACTTTTGAGAAGCTCGAGGAACTGAAATACTTGTCACTCGAGGACAATTTACTGAAAACCATACCAGAACTGTGCAATCTTGAATCGTTGCGGCACCTGCAACTCGCTAAAAATTTCCTGCCCGCAGTGAATAGCGACTCCTTCTGCCAGATCGAGAACCTCACGTTCGTTGACTTGAGCGATAACAAAATCAAATTCGTGGAAGAGGGCGCGCTTGACAAACTGGTTCACTTGGAGATTCTCAAACTCTCGAATAATTTGCTTACGACGTTTTCCAGCTCGTGGCTGGAGCGGCTGAAGAATCTGCGCAGCCTGTATGTCGACGGTAACAGGTTGAAAAGCCTGAGCGATCTTGGCCTTGCTGCTGTGCATATGTTTGCCAAGTTGGAGCACGTGTACGCGCAGAACAATTGGATTGCGCAATTGTACACGGGTTCGCTACTCACCGAGGTCAGGAATCAACCAAATGTCACTATTCAGTTGTTTGATTTTACTAGTGACGTGCAGAAAAATTTATTGAGCGCGGAATCTCGTAAGTGCGATTGTTCGTGTAACGATAACGAAATATTTTTCCTGTAATTCGAAAAATAATTTCATACCTGATCTGACTATGCGATCCTCATATTTCATTTGTAATTAAAATATTCATTTCGTAATCCAATAAAAATAATCACATTTTCACATAGAGTTTATTATTATTAAAAAGCACCAATTTGTGTAATAATTCATTACAGTAGTTCACATTTATTGTATAACGATATTATTTAATCGGCAATATATACGATGAAATATGTTTAAAAACGGAAATTCATTACACTTATTTTATTTTCTAGCATAAAGAATATCCTTGTACCGAAGTTATTGATTCGTTATAAAAAAGATCCCTCACTATTTACTATCACACTTGAAGTTGAAATTCTGGTTCACGTGTACTTTTACATATGATATTGAGTCTTACAAGCGTATTAGTATTCCAGATAGTTAGAGTAGTAAATCCGGCAACGAAATAATCGGACTAAAATACGTTTGAGCTATAAAATATTCGCTCGCAATGCATTTTAAACTTTCGTTTCATTTTCTTTCCCATTCTTGTTCCCATTGTGAATTGCGCTCAAATTTATACGAGCGCGTTAAAAGTCACCGAGCGTGTCTTGGAAAATTTATTACCGTTAAGTCGAGTGTCGCGTGCAAGGAAATCAGCGCCCGATGATGACTGTCGAGCGCATAGATATTCCCTCAGGTTTCACAGACCTCCTTGAAAAGTAATAAATCGTTGTTTTGATCTTGTTTGTATTGGAGTAAATGACGCACGCATTAAGAATTATATCTGATATATAAAATGGTAGCGTGAGAAAATGCGACGTTAAAAATATCAAATCTTTATCTAGTTTATAAGGATGTTTGTGAACGAGAGATTCAAATGCTTTAATTTAAGTTATATGATACTCTCTAGCTCCGAAGTGATTTTACTTTGTAATCCCTTGTGCGAAAATCAGCATGAAGGCGTTATGTATTTGTGAAAGGTTTAACTGAATTTTTTAATGATTTAAAAAATTTAATTGAATTTTTGACCAAACAACTGCCTTCATAATTAGCCCATAGCATATTTTGTAACTATAATTATGTATATCTTAAAGAATATGTAATTTTAATAATAAAGACATTTTTCATATCCCTTTTTATAATAGTAAAATTTATTTTTCTATATATAATTTAAACTTTTATGATTAATTTTAGGAAAGATAATATATTATATAGTTTGTTTTTCTATTTTTATAGTAAAATCAACATGTCACCTTCTTTACCTCTTATACTCTTATTGCTTATAGCGGTTTCTCAGAAAACCAAACAACAATATCAACTATGAGATGAAAATACTGACATCGATAAATTATGTGCGAATCCGAATGTTACGTTGAATTTTTACAATTTAAACTTAGGCGCCGTCGGAGAATATAACAAGTCTTTTATTTATGTGCTTATAATTGAAAGAAAATCACATAACAATGGTAGATACTGATTAAACATTGATAACAATAATATCGACTACGACAAACAGTACCATGAAGTTTCAAAAAAATACCTTTTATTAAAGAATCTATTTCTGAGCCAGAATCATCAAAAGTGTTTAAAACAAGGAAGCAGGTTCTTTGAATGGATAACTTCAGTTGTTTTTTTTTATTATCTGTGAGTTATATATTTATATATTTTCTCTGTGTATTGGGAATAGTATTCGAAAAGTTCGCATCAGCGCTTCTGTCGGTGGAATCTGTAAGCCGAGTTATTAGGCTCTTTTGCTCTTATTTACACGTATTAATATATGCATGACATAGAACTTCTATTTTTTATTATATTTTGACTCAATTTTATACTTGTATATTTACTCAATTTTATACTTTAATATCTTCTATTATCTTCAAAGCTTTTATCCATTAGTACTTCAAATTTACGTATTCAACTTTTTCCGAAATATTTCCCTGGTGGGACAGATTGATTGTTAGTATACAGGAAAAGTATGAAAGCTCAGCTCGCTGTCGGTGAAAGCTCGAGCATTACAACCTTTCACGCAGCAGGAAATACGAGATCTTTTTTTAAGATATTCCATACTGTGATTTTACGTTGAATATGCAATAACTTGAGTCAACAATACAAGTATAAAATTGAATCAAAATATAATAAAAAATAAAAGTTCTATGATATGCCTATATTAATACATGTAAATAAGAACAGAAGAGCTCATTAACTCGGCTTACAGATTCCACCGACAGGAGCGCTGATGTGAACTTTTCGGAACCTAATGACAAGCGGTCGCTCTATTCAATATGTGTTGAATCGACACCTATTTCCTATATTCAATAATATTTATTTAAAAAATCAGTTCAGTTTGGATGTGCTAACAACTTACAATAATGATTCTGATAATTTTATTCAATCTATAACGAAAACAAAATAATTTCATTCAAAATTTTTGTAAAAATAAGTGCCATGATTATATAGATAAGGATTACGCAATTTGTTTTCATCATATTGTCTCGTTATGAGATTTACACGTTACAATTGGAAGCTTTAAGTGCTCACTAAATAAATAGAATTAATCAAATTGCATCACTCTAATGATAATATAAACATTAAAAAGCCTATCAAGCAACAGTTCAAAATGGACAAGAGCCATTTCTTCTTATAAAACAATACTTTTCAAGAAGTTATGCAATGAAAAATATAAAAATTCAAGAATAAGTATTCTTCTTATGCTTCAATATTTCATAAGCCAAATACTCATCAATTTTATTGACGTGTCCTTCACTTACGTTATAATTTTTCGGTCTAAATTGAAAATGGATCGAAAAACTCATATCAAGCGATTATACTTGACAGAAAAAATGTCAAAATGAGTATACATATAAGCAAGAAAATGTCATTGGATTTGTATATTCTGTACATAATATTCCGGGGCCATATTCACAAACTATTGCATGTAAGTAAAGTGATTATTATTTCATTAAGATATAATGATTAATATTGATTTAAACTGATGAATACTTGACAGTTGAGTGAAATGTTCAGTACGATTTACGGAAATAAAAATATAGTAAAATTAAATAAACTCTGTTGTTAATTTTTTTAATTATTGTTCAAAACTTGATCTAACTCATGTTGATAATAGTTAAATTGAAGATTGAAAGTAAATTTCATAAATGAATTTATTTAAATTTCAAATAACTAGACGAAAGTGCATGTCCCATGATATTTACATAAGTTTACTTTTCAGTAGATATTTCAAGTGACCATCAGAATGTTAAAAACACTTTTATTGACCTATTTCATCGGAGCGTCCTCGGCACATAATTTTTTTGAACCAGGTATCATTCGTTTTCCATTGAGAAGTGCGCAGCAATCGATAAATTACGAAAGTTTTACATCCAGTCAACAGAATATCACTATTGGCAGATGTGAACATGTGTCGGACAATCGAGTTGTACTAAATTTACAAAATTTGAGATTAGACACGCCGCCTAATCCTTATCCAGGTTTCATCGATGGATCTTTTGTATCTTGCATCAACCTGGCTGCCAATGACATTTTTCAAATCGTCCCTGGATCTTTCGATCAGTGTCCAAGCTTGAGCTATCTCGATTTATCGCGAAATAGAATTCAGTTTTGCGATTTTTTCAATTTCGGAAGTTCACATCCCAGCCTTGTAACGCTAATTATTGAGGATAATAAGCCACCGATCGACAACATTGACAGAATCATAAGCAAAGCTGATTGTTTTCCAAGATTGCGTTATCTTTATCTCCGTAGAAACGCAATCCGAGGTCTCAACTTTTCTCTGCGGAGATCGTTTCCAATTATCACGCATCTGTTTCTCTCCGATAACCACATAGACACTCAAACTTTCATTCACGATTTGCCTCCCACTTTGACGCATCTTTATCTCGAACGAAACTTCATCAGTGAATTGAACTGTCATATTATGAGAAATTTAGAAAACCTACATTTAGATGGAAATATTATACGTTCAATTTGTTATAAAAGCTGCCACGGATCATCGTTGAAATTGGAAGGAGTTCATAAACTAACCACTTTGACCATTTCTGACAATAGAATCATTGAAATCGAGTCCTGCGCCTTCCAAGATGCCAGAGATTTAATGATCTTAAATTTGGGACAGAACAATTTGGACGATTTGAAGCACGATACATTCGAAGGATTGCTTTCGCTAAGAGAACTCAATCTCGATGACAATCACTTGAAAACTGTGCCAAACTTGTCTAACAATAATAAGCTGGTCAGTCTAGCCTTGAGGCGTAACAAGCTCCAGATGATAAGACGGGATAATTTTATGAATATGAGAATGCTTAAATATCTTTACTTAGGTGGCAATAATATTCAAAGTATTATAGCTGGTTCCTTCGAGCATCTTGAATCTTTGATGGAACTAGATTTATCGAATAATGGTTTAGATTTTATACCAAGTGATTGGTTGAAGTGGCAGTGGAATCTTCACACCCTAGATGTTCGTGGTAATAGATTTAAAAGTCTGGAGCAAATGTCGCTCAATACAGCTCCATCATTGAGTATTATTTATCTGCAAAATAACCCAATAACACATTTTAGTGGATCTATTGTTTCAAAATTCTCACCGAATGCAATTATACACTTACAAAATGATTGTAGTGATAGAATCCAGAATAGGACTGAATGCTATGCAAAATGTGATCAGAATGAAAGTCGAATGAAGAATGAAACTTATATTAGGTGGATCAATAATTTATAAGATTTGAAATCATTATCTTTTTATATTTTTTCTACATGTAGATAAAAATCAATTTTCCATAAATATTTTATATCGACTTCATGACATTGCTTGTATTAAAACCACAATTAAAGACTAGTATATCACACGAAAAATTTCAGTACTTTTTAAAAAAGTTTAACCTAAATAACGTTTCGTTATTGTATTTGTCATAATAGAAAATTTGTTTAAAAAATCATCTTTTGTAAAAATAATTTTTCAAATAAATGTAAAATTATTATAATCATATTAATTGTACCAATAAATACTTATAATTAGATACAATGTGATAAATTACATATAACATAATAAATATATCTTAAAAAATAAAATATATTCCGTTGCCTGCATGCTTTGATACGATAGTTATACAGGAAAACGCAATCTTCCTTTTATTGATATGATAACAAGGGGAAATGCTCTAATAAAAGCTACATTTAACTGCATTTTTTTTTAATGTTGCGTACAATCTTGAACGTACAAGCATAGTTTTATCTCTCTTTTTATTCAAATTTTTTTCACCTTCGGGGAATCCCTAATCAACTTTTACACACACGCACGCACGCATACACACGCGCGAACGCAATAAAATTTTATTTATTTACACGAGCACAATAAATAATTTCTTTAACACGTTTACACGTTTAAAAGATGAATTCATATTTTGCAAAAGTGCTGATATAATGATGTCGGATATTATTGTTTTTTAAATAGGACCAAGTATTCGTTTGATTTTTGACATTCGATATTCATTTTAAAATTAAACACTACGCAACTGTGTTCATTTTATGTATATAAAATTAATTCATAAAGATTATTTTTTTCCTATGAATTACCATAATTGAATTTACATTTTCTGTAAATATTTGTTTCGAGCTATCATTCTTATTTATTATATTTCTGTCAATTGAAACAAATAATTCATCGATGACATTTAATATCGCATCAACAGATATATTAATGTAGAAATGAACAAAAAATATACAGGAAAGTTATTTTCTCGACGTAAGATGTCAACATTTATACTAATTTCAGGAAATACTACGACATTGGATAACCGCATGTATAGTAGTAAGATTAAAAAAGAAACCTTGCCGTTTTCTGATAGTTCTTGATTTATCCTTGGATAACACGTATCGATTATTATATCGCGTAGATAAAACATCCAATTTTAATTTCATCAGTACATACGTTCTTGAAAATCCAAAACTGACGTGTTGGGAAATCTTATGAAATTTATCCCTAAAGATCCATATAAAAGCTTATCAATGTCAAACTATCACAGTTAGGAATTGGAATTTAGACATAAGAAAGCGTTTTTCTACATTATCGCGTATTATTCCATATACCATCAAGTTCTTTTTTGAAATGTAAGTATAATTCATCATACAATATTATATCGTTATAACTAAATTAGCAACTACATTTTTTAAATTTTTTGTTTTTCTTATTTTTCAACGTTATTCTATTTGAATAGCTCAAAGTTATTCCAGAATAAACAAAATTTTGTTTAATAATAATGAAATCACATAAAAATTGATTGCAATATTATATATCAATAAAATATGTTATACTTCGGATTACACTGCAATTGATATATGATATTAGATTTTTAAAGATACTTTTTATCGATTACTTCAGAGAAATAAATTTTTCCTAAAAAATGTCAATCTTTTTCAGAAATAAAGATGTCTTGGCTTATAACTAGTTTAGTTATATTTACTGGTACAGTGAACGCAAGAGTGCAATTTACCAAATCAGTTCAATTTCCTCTAAGAAATATTCAAAATTCCATTAACGTGGAATCCAATTACTCATACGAATTGTATTACAAGTCTGAATTTCGTCAATACTACAACACAAATAATGGATACATATTGAATTTGTCAAAATTGAGTTTGCCCTGGACGCCAAATCCTTACCCAGGGTTTATCGAGAGTTCAAACATCGTAACGATAAATCTCCGAGAAAATGGAATTTTCCGCATAATACCAGGTTCCTTCGATTCTGTACCATACATGCAATTTTTGGATTTGTCGCGCAACAAATTAGCATTCTGTGACTTTTTTTACTTTGGCAGCTGCGTGCAGAACTTACAAACTTTAGTAATAGAAGAAAACCAATCGCCCACCGACAGCTTAAATAAAGAAATCAGTAGAGCCGGATGTTTCCCGAACGTGCAAAATCTTTACATCCGTCAAAATAGCATCCGGCGTTTGAGTTTCTGTCTGAAACAATCTTTTCCAAATCTGGTGTCCCTCTATCTAAGTGACAATGAGATTGACAGCTGTAACTTCATTCGTGATGTACCTACAAATTTGGCTCATCTTTATGTGGATCACAATCACATCAGTAGCATAAGCACGTTCATTACGCGAAACTTGGTGACTCTAAAAGCCGATGGTAACATAATTCGTTCGATTTGTTATAAGAACTGCAGCAACACGTCGCTCAAACTTCTTGGCACAAAACGCCTTCAACATCTGTCCGTCTCCTCGAACAAGATCACACAGATTGAAGCTTATGCCTTGCACGACTCTTTTAATCTCGTAAGCTTGAACTTGTCGAGCAACAGTCTCGAGACGATATATCCATCGACCTTTGCGTCGCTGCGCTCACTTACGCAACTGCATTTGGATAACAACCTATTGACTCATGTGCCCAATTTGAGCGGCAACTGGTATCTCAAGACTCTTAGTCTACGCAAAAACCGAATTACCGAGATTAAAAGAGATATTTTCATTAGTATCAAGTCCGTACAAAAAATTTATCTCGGTAGCAACTCCATCAAAAGAATACATTCCGACGCTTTTTCGGAACTCACCTATTTACAAGAACTTGATCTCTCGAACAATCAGTTGGAAACTTTGTCTACCGGTTGGATGCGTAATTTGATAAATTTGCAACGTTTAGATTTGAGGAACAATAGATTTACCTATGTTTATCATTTGTCGCTTAGCACATCATTGACACTTCGTATAATTCATTTGCAACGCAATAGGTTTGCCCAAAGTGATAAGGGTGAAATTCAAAGATACTGCCCAAATGCTCAGATATATATAGACGATTGTAATAACATGTGTAACGCCAATATTGTTGTTATTCCTCCAAGTCGACCGACTTTTTTGTGGAGTTACAACTATACGAAACATATCGCATATAATAGGCATACGTAGAGTCATCTACTTATCATAAATATATTTACGGCTAGAAATATGTCATAGATTTTACGTGTGATATGAGAATTATTGTACGTTATTTATTTTAATGATAATTATTATTTAAGGTGTATTTAGTATAAATGTATTATAAAGAGAGTACAAAGTTTTTAATGGAAACGAACATAAATTTAAAAATGATTTGTCATTATTTTTATTCCTTTGTCATTAAGCAAGAATGGACTTTGTCTAGACAACTCAGTTTTTGCAATAGTTTTTGTTTCTTGATTTATCATGAAGTACCGATACTAAATATCTGTAGCATTATATAAATGCTTTTTGCATATTATTATTTATGAAGAATTAGAGTCAATAAAAAGGGCTCATACCAGTCCCAACTTACGAGTCGTTTATTTTACGTTGTTGCGTAGAGATCTTTTTAAAGTCAAACTTGTGAATCAAGTATTCTATAGTGATTGATATTTATGCATAAATTTTATAAGTATGGCTAGGAAAGCTTTGAATTATTTAATTACGTGTATGATATCATATTTTCCATATACGACTGCTTATGTGAGTATTAATCCACATAACACTGAAAACGTAAACAATTGTGATGTATCTCTAAATCTTACAAATACTGGATTGAGAAGACTCAACCCAAATTTCATCAACGCCAATTGTGTTAGAAACTTGACACTACAAAATAACAATATTGAATACTTAGAAGAAAATAGTTTTAAGAATCAGTCTCATCTGGAATATTTGGATTTATCAAGAAATAATTTAAAATCGTCAAATTTTTTTACTTTTGGTGGAAATAAAAGCTTGAAAGTCCTTATTTTAGATCACAACAATTATTACATAAATGACGTAGTTTATGAAGCAAAGAATAATGGAAGCAAAAATAATAAGAGTGATTATGTGGATTACCAAAACTTGGCGATTAATGAAAATTTTCCACAACTACAATATCTTTCTCTACGAAACGTAAATATAAATAATTTTTCCATAAATTGGATCAAGCATTTTCCCAAATTGGAGTATCTTGATGTATCAGAAAATTTATTAGCAGATAATTTGTTGAACGTCTTTTTAAAAAATACTACTTCAAATATCAAAAGTCTCATTGCTGAAAAAATTGGACTAACTATGGTAAGAACTGAAGATTTACTGGCTATTGAACATTTAAATTTAAATCACAATCACTTACCAAGATTTAGCAGTCACAAATGTCACGGAAGTAGCATATGTTTCGAAGATATGGATAATTTGAAATTTCTTTCTCTTTCTAATTGCTCAGTAACTTATATCGAAGATAATGCTTTCAAATACATGAAAAATTTGTTGGAACTAGATTTATCAAATAATTGTTTTCAAAAAATTCCAAATCAAACATTTGGATACTTATATTCACTTTTAAGCTTGAACTTGAGTTATAATCCGCTAATAAGTATGCCAAACATTGAAAAATTACAATCTTTGACAACTTTAATACTGGATGGTATGAAAAATGAACAAATGTGGCAATCTTTACAATCTTTCGTATATTTGCCGAAGCTCAAGCATCTCTCGATGTGTAATAATAAGTTGAACAGAATTTCATCAACTTTATTTGATAACCTACCATCTCTGGAAGAACTTAACTTGAGTAATAATTTTATTACGTCTTTACGAAGCTGGAGCAATCAAAATGCCCTAGTCACACTTGATTTAAGTTCTAATAAAATTGAAGATATAGAAAAATTGTCATTAAAAGAAGCTACATCATTAAAGCTCTTAATATTGAAAAATAATTTTATATCTAAAATGAAAATATCTTCTTTTAAAGATTTTACAAATAATGACATTGTACTAAATGTATAAATTTCGTCATATCTATGTAAGTATAATTAAATTAATACCGAAATGATTAATGAATTTTGTGTTTGACTACCTGATAATGCTGCTTCATTTTCCGGTTTTTATAAAATTCACTAAAAATATATATCGGTGTTCCGTATAAATTGTATACACATAAAGTTATCTTTTAAAATGCTGATTAGTCATGACTCTTTCAAGTGATAATAACAAAGCGAACGTATATATATATATGGCAATTTGTTCTATAGTATTTCAGTTACGTACGAACTTAAAGTCTTGGAAGTCTTACTGTAGCTGTGCCATTTTCTTGACATTCGCTGAATAGCGCAAAAATTACAATTTAATCATGGAACAGTGGACGATAATCACTTTTTTTATAACAAGTATTTATACATATTCTACTAGCGTAAGCTTACCAATACAAGATCAATCTGAAACATGGATTCCTGAAGATATTTCAAGTTGTGACATCAACGTAGATTTTTCAAACATGAGTTTTAATGGTATTATAAAATCAAATTTTATCTCGAACCCACGTGTAAAAACATTGATTTTGAAAAATAATGGGATAACTGGATTTCAAGAAAATACCTTTGACAGTTTACCTAACCTAGAGACTTTAGATTTGTCTAATAATGAATTAAGTTTTACCAATCTATTTTCATTTGGAACTATTTATGCATTAAAAACACTAATTTTAGACTATAATCCCCAGAGGTGTTTGAATAATCCATATTATACGAGCAATTACGAATGCTCAGATACTTACACGTTAAAAGTTGAACATGAATACCCTCAATTAACTCATCTCTCTATCCGTAAGATTTTTATTAATTTATTCGACATCGATTGGAAAAATAACTTTCCTAAATTAAGTTACTTAGACATATCTTATAATTCATTAAGTCAAGCGTTTGATTACTTACCGCAAAGTTTAACATCTTTGACAATGAGAAATGTTGGTATGACGTCGTTAGGAATTTTAAAACTGGAGAATCTTATTTATTTAGATTTAAATGAGAATAAGTTTCAAATTCTCAGTAGTCATTTGTGTTACGAAAATTATGTTCTATGTCTGCGAAATATAATAAATCTACAATCGCTGTATATTGCTCAATGTTCAATCGAATTCATTGAAGCAGACGCATTCAAATATGCTGAGAAACTAAATCAATTAGATATGTCAAGTAATGTATTTGAAGAAATTCCCGTCGAAACATTTGAATTGTTACCTGCTTTATCGCTTTTGAACTTGAGCAGGAATAATTTAAAAACTATTCCAAATTTTAGTAATTTACAGAATTTGACTTCATTATATATGGATTCTATGGTGAATAAAAAATTACTATCACCGGATGCTTTGGAAAATTTTCCGCTGTTACCAACATTGAAAATAATTTCACTTCGTTTTAATGAGTTGAAAACAATACCATTGAGTTTTCTAAATAAACTGCCAAACTTATTAGAACTAGATTTGAGTTCTAACAGAATTGCATCACTACCATCTGGACAATGGAATAAAAATCTACAAAACCTTTACCTGGATAATAATATAATTAAAAATTTGGAAGACATATCATTACAAGAAATTGAATCATTGAAGCTGCTAAGCATACGAGCTAATCTATGTAATGAAATAAAATTTAAGTTAATGAAAAATTTATCAGACGATTGTATTTTAAAATTTTAAGAAATGTATACTACATACATTCATACATATACATATATGACATTTTTAATATTATTATTCTTAAAAACTGTAATTAATTTCTGATTATATTAAAGTGTATTATAAAATCAATCTCATATTTCTTATTTCCTCCATACATAAACGTAGTAAAGGTAATATTACGAAATTAGGATCATTAAAAGAAGTCATATATAGCCAATAAATTCTTTTTAAAAATTTATAGTTACTACATATAAATTTAATTATCAAACATTCTCAAAAATATTTTAAATATTAAGTATACAAATTTTTCTATATTTGTTAAGTTAAATTTTATTTGTTAAATCAAATTCATGTTTTGTTTTGCATTTATACAAAGTTTATTTTTGAAAGTTCATTCATTTTACAAATAAAAACGATAAACTTCAGTGATACCTCTATTTTGTAAATAAGTAATGACTGGTTTTTCAAAGTTTGAAAAGCAGTTTACAGGTTGTTGGGGTTGGTGAGCAGGAATGAATGTGCGTATTTAAATTCGAAATTAAGGATGACAAATTTATTGACAACATACAAATAAGATTAGATTAATTAACAAATACAATATAAATGAAACGATACACGATAGACATACGTTTACGGCCGTGATTACAGTAAACGCGAATCACACGCACGTTATGCTAATTAAAAGACACGAACAACTTGCCCGTGCGAAATCTGAGCTCAGACTGCTGTCAAAAGTTCTCTTTTTCGGGAAAGCAAACTTTCCTTCCTTCTCTTCTGGTGACGTCGCCAATCTGGGGCGTGACCCGGAGAGGGCCTGAAAGACAAATAGCGCAATAGTCTCTCTCCTCCTGCCTTGCTCGTAGACTGCCAATACAGCCTCGGACCCGCCCGCTTGCAGGGCCCGAGCTGTACACCCCTCTACCTGGGTTCAGAGATCGATGTCTAGGTCGTTGGGCCTAGGTTACGAAGCTAAACAGTAACTTTGCTGGTCACGTCGAGCAATGGCAAAGAGGAGATTAACAGTCCTTCACGCATGCTAACATAAATAATTGCAGCTCTGATTCCCAGATCCCACGCGAGCATGCGCCTCCCTCCGAAACCGCTTGCCATTTTTTCTCGGCTTCATGCTTCTCGGATACAAACGCCATTCGCATCTCGCGCTGCAAACGTTGAGCTACACTCAACTCACACACCCAAGACTACAGCTGCGTCGCATATGCCACAATTATTTTAACGATTGTCCACGACGAGCAGACTTTCGAACATTTCAAGCCAGTCTAAGAAAACGTGTCAACAGACCCCCCTGCGCTAAACGCGTCGATATTTTATGGAGGTTTCGCTTTAAAGGCCGCGCGGGCTTAATTAATGGAGACTACCGGTGTGCGTTCGACGACAAAAAGAAACAAAGATCTCTGCCTACACCTTTTCCGAACATCTGCGGGATACATGCGCGTTTGAAACTTTCTCGCTCGTAATGGCGCGAACTTGATCCGTAACACAGGTGATAAATAAAACTACAATATATATTTCGATTACGTAGACATTTTGCAAGTTTGGTATCTACGTTCATAAGATCTTTTATTACAATCAAACATTACAAAAGTTTAAAATATTATCAACCAAATACTAACAATAGAATTCTGATATTATAATTAAAATAATATTGTGACGATAACATGTCAAAAAAAATCTTATGGGAAGAAATTTTCAAATCCAAAATGTATCGACAGAAAGACACAACATACCATCATGACTGTCGAGATTATAATAACATTACTAGAAAACAGATTATAAAGAGGAATTGAGAAAATCAAAAGCCGAGAAAACTGTAATTATCCCAACATAAAGAAGACAAGAATATTATGAATTATAATATCTATAACAACAAACAGAAGGATACCCTATTGCTTTTAGTAAAGAATACCAAAGAATTTATAAACTTTTTAATAAATTAAGTTGGTAGCATTAATTATTTTCCATAAAAATTTTCAATAATGTATTATATATATAGTGGATTTTAATTGTAGTTATAATTCAATACATGTTTGTTTTCTTTACGTCATGATAATTACAGTTTTCTCTTTTTGATCTGTTTTCTAGTAATCTCAGTATAATCTCGACAGCCGTAATGGTATGTTGTGTCGTTCTATCGATACATTATTGAATTTAAAAATTTCTTTTTTAATAAGTTTTTTTGTGACCTATCATAATATTATTTTAATTAATATCAAAATTTTATTATTAGGGTTTGGTAATTATATTTTTAATTTCAGTAATGTTTGATTGTAAGATCTGATGAGCTTAGAGAGCAAACCAGCGAAATATATGTAATCGAAATATATGTGACAATTTGATTTATGGATTGCGGGTGACTTTCCAAGTTATAAATGACCAATTATTATGTAGAGAATATTGAAAGTACTTATGAAGCATTTTAGTATAAATTTGGATAATATTAAGTAAAGATTCAGTAGTGGTAAGACCTCGAGCTTTATAGTGTATTAAAAACTGTATCATATAGAAAATTAGTTATTACTAAACATTAAAAGATGTATTTTTACGAGAACTCAAAATGACATTATTGTAATAACAATTTTAAAACTCTGCCATGGATCATCGAGATATATCTGCTTACATTTACTAAAAATGTTGTTGAATAAGCCAGAAGCTTCGTTGTTTCTTAAAATTTTTCAAATATATATCGTAATGTGTTAATACGAATTGCATTTTAAATCCTTAAATAAAAATGTTCAATCTTAGTGACAATAGCATAAGTAACTTTTTCAAAGAAGACATTTATAAGTCTACCTTATTTTTAAACAACTTTGGATTTGTCAGACAACTTATAGATTAACAATAATAATAACACCATGTAAAATTCTTGTTACGGATGTATTTTGAAATATGCTCTCACAGAATTTTTGGACAAAGACATTGCGCTTGGATCATTTCATTACGCCGTGGACTGTTTGCTAATCGATGCGCGCGTGCTATGTCGAACTCGAAAACAAGATCGAGTGACCATGCGTAACGGCATCGACACTCTCATTTTTAAAAGAATCTCTATTCTGCCGACATTTGTCGGTTGGTTCCTTTGTTGTTAAGTTCAGTTACGGCCTCTTCGAAACTCGAAACTCAAGTAACACTACGAATATTGTTTAATTTAAGATAAGCGTGTGAGAGAAGCGTGAGCCGCATCAAGCTGAGTTACGATTATAATCAAATTTGACTTTTTACCATTGCTACGATCACTGCCTCCAAACTCGCAAAAATGCATACATCGCTAAAAAAGATGGCAAATGCATTGTGGCAATCAGACTGGTTGAAAGGTTACCTTTCAAAGCTGATTGTCGACGACGGACATTGAGCGTCCGTCACCCCGTTGTTTGAGCCGAAAGTCGGCACCATCAAACAACGCAATACGAGCCACCAAAACACGGCACAATATTTAGCGCGCGGTCGGAATCATCATAGACTTCGACTCGAGCCAATCAACTAGAGTACGGAGCAGTTGACACATGAATAAGGAAACCTCATTGGCAGAAGGTCAAGAAGTTCACGCCTTCGACCTTCGTGCGAGGAAAGGGAATTGAGATAAGAAAATTTTTTGATCGGACTCAGCTGGCGCGGCGACGCGTCTCAACCATTCTAGATCCGGCACTTGAACAAGCAGTTCGCCTATCTTTAAGCACGCGTGCGCCAATTATATTTCATTAATTGTACTTCCGTTAATTGCACCTTTATACTATTTAGAATTACGATTCTCGTGCCGACACAAATTTAATCCTTTCTTATTTTAACTAGTTTAGCCGGCAAACCTTTATAAATGTGATTTGTATCGTTAGTTGTTAGTTTGATTGTAAGCTTACTTTGGTTCCGAGCGTTCCGGTTTATTTATTATTTTAAGTAGTGTTATTGTGAATTAAATAAATCCGGCGTTCTTTATATCAAATATTTTAAAACCTCCACTCTCAGTCCTTCTCACCCTAACAATTCTTTTTAATTTTAATAGATGTTCGAAAAAACTATATCAAACTATCTGTGAAAAGCATTACACACGCTATTCTGAGTTTAAAAGTTAAATATAATTATCCCAACTTTATTGTCTTTCAATTAGAAATATTTTTAATCATTTGCTTACTAGGGATTGGGCAAGTCACTTTCCTCAATTAATTTCTTGAAATATGTTTAAAAATAATTTTTATGTGCTAGCGATATCTAGCGACAACAAGGAATGTTTTAACGTGGTATACAATTTGTACATGACGATAATTAGCGTTGTTATTATTTCATCCTAGTTGTTATACAAGTTTCACGTGCTAGAGATTTTTACTGATAGCTTTTCAAAACTATTTCAAACGATCAAACGAATCGAAATTACGTGATTACTAATAAATTTTAGATATGTAACCACTAGCTTTAATTACGTACCGTTACTTTTATTGTTAAAAATAATGATCTCTTATAAAAATATCAGCCTAGCTTGTTTTGTATAAATATTCATTCTGTATGAGTTGATTTTACATGACTTTTTAACATAATTATTTTTTTTAATTAAATAGAACGCATAAAATAGCTTTGTGAAAAAAGAAGATACTATTGAACATGTAAACTTTTTACAGAAAATTAAATTGGAAAATAACTAGTCTAAAGTATTCTACATAAAATATTTTTCCTGGAATAATTAAATATTGAAAAGAATTATATGTGTAAAATTCTATCTACTATTAAAAAAAAATGATCAAATGTACGATTAGGTTATGTAGAATATTTTATGTCACTTTTTTTAATTGTGTTGTAGAAAGATAAAATAACATATAATAGTTTATTTTTTAGGAAAACGGTATTACATTTTTTGTATTCAATAGAAAAGCATTATCTTAAATAAATAAAATTTAAAAGTTGGTTTAAAATCAAATCGTATAAAATCGGTATCTGTAAGAAACGAACACGGCTAAAACATCAAAAGCAATTATTACAGTTTTTATTTGTTCATATGATTAATCAACTTTAAAATTATGTATTAATTAAATTTCAAATTACAAGATTTTATACGACATCTGGAGCAACTCTAAAAAATTCATTTTGAGTAGATCTTAATTAACATTCTTAATTATATTCATAAGTAAAGTTTTCCCTTTGTCAGATAAACGATAGTATCTTAAATTATATTCAACAGCCATCCAGTTATATCTCTAACTAATCCTAATATTAAGAGTATTCATTCAAAAATAAAGATTGCTATCAAAACCAAACACGATTAAGTTTCTGCAAAACGATGGCCCGACAGGCACCGTCGACGATCGCGCATTTGAACATTTTCTCCATAAAAGCGCGTACAGTTGAAAGTGCATGAGCGCTCGCGGGTACACACGCCCTTGGAATCGATTTCTAGGCACTTGCACTGGGCATATACAGACTTTTAACGCGAGGGCTCGCCGGTGATTCCGCCGGGAAGCCGCCCGTAAGCTCTCTCTCTCTCTCTCTCTCTCGGGCGGGTGAAAATACTGCTCACTACGCATGCGTCGAACCCTCCTCTCGTCTTTACTATCTCTCTCTCTCTCTCTCTCTCTCTCTCTCTCTCTCTCTCTCTCTCTCTCTCTCTCTCTCTTTCTTCTCTCTTTCTTTCGTATAGGCTCTCTGTCGCTGTACTTCTCTATTTCATTTTGCACTAACACCTGACACACTACAGGGGCTTCTGTTTTTAATACACGTCCATCCCTTGACAATGTATTTTGTTTTCATCAAACTCAAACGCCTTTTTTGGCAAAAAACAAGTTTTATTTAAAACCACTTCATGTCGATGGTAACATTGTCGAACACCCCTTACATGCCTTTTGTTTATATCGGTCGGCTACCTCTCTCCGTGTGTTTCTCTTTCTCTCTCTCTCTCTCTCTCTCTCTCTCTCACGGGCGTTGGACGTCGCGACGCCCCACAAGATATATATGTTACAGCGAGCAAAACCTACCGGAGGCGCTGAAGAGAGAGGGAGCGAGGCGTCGTGCGCGGGCTTCGTTTGGCGGAGCGACGCCGCCGTGTGCGCTCAGTGCTCGCTCGGACGCGACTCGCGCAAGCTCTACGACATAGAGTTTGCTTTTGTTGTCGGTGTGTAAATCGCGTAACGTACAGTGCTGTCCTTACTGCTCGGGGGTTGACTTGATCTTTGCTCGGAGAACAAAGAAAAAAAATATTAAAACAAATACGAATGAAACCCCACGCGTGATGGGAGTTGTTCTCGCTCGTTATACTGCCGAGGAGACCGGCGACTGCTGTTTTGTCTCATGCCTTGCCGTTGTCATTGCAACAACCCTCACGACCTGCCGGTAATCAGTGCGGCGTAGATGTAGGCCCTGTACCTCTTATCCCTTTCTCTCTGTCTGTCTCTCTCTCTCTCTCTCTCTCTCTCTTTCTCTCTCTCTCTCTCTCTCTCTCTCTTCTCTCTCTCTCTCTCTCTCTCTCTTTCTCTCTCTTTCTTACTCGGTCTTTGTCTTTTCTCCGAATAAAAGTTATTTCTTATAAGTGCGATATGCGTGGTGTACAAGTCAGTGCAACGTGAAAGCCGCCAGTGATGACAGAGTAAGAGCACAGCAGCCATGTGGTGATTTGACGAAGGCATGAAGTGCGACGACGACAACAATGAAGCCAACGACTGGCTGCCAATAAATTATCATCCGGAGTCGTTGCATTAACGCGCAAATATAAAAGAAAAATTTGGATTGAAAGGGAAAAGAAATAACGATGGAGAACAATACAATCTCGTGTCAAGCCGGCCTTGTGATACCATTGTGGTATCCATTGGATGGTCTCGACACCTGGGACAAGGTGTTTCGCGGCACGGTATATTTCCTGGTGATGGCCTATTTGTTCATCGGGGTATCGATAATATCCGATCGTTTCATGGCGGCCATCGAGGTAATCACCTCGCAGGAGAAAGAATTGATAGTGAAACGCCAAGGCAAAGAGCCACAAATCATTATCGTGCGAGTGTGGAACGAGACAGTAGCCAATCTGACGCTCATGGCGCTGGGCAGCAGCGCGCCTGAAATCCTGCTGTCGATCATCGAGATCTACGCGAAGAACTTTCAAGCGGGCGAACTGGGACCCGGTACGATCGTCGGTTCGGCCGCCTACAACCTCTTTGTCATCATCTCGATCTGCGTGTTCGTCATACCCAGCGGCGAGACTCGCAAGATCAAGCACTTGAGGGTGTTCTTCGTGACGGCAACTTGGAGTATATTCGCCTACATCTGGCTGTACATCATCCTCGCGGTGTCGAGCCCCGGCGAGCTAGAGATCTGGGAGGGACTGTTGACGTTCAGCTTCTTCCCGGCCACGGTGCTCACGGCTTACGTGGCCGACCGCAGACTGCTGATCTACAAGTACCTACACAAGGGCTACCGCATGAACAAGCGTGGCGTGATCGTCGAGACGGAGGCCGGCGACTCGGACGTCGGCCTCGAGCTCGAGATCAAGGCCCAGCACGAGCACGGCAACGGCATGATCGAGCGCTACCTCGACGCCGACACGCCCGAGTCCCGTGAGTTCGAGCAGACGCGGCGCGACTACATCCGCACCCTCAAAGAGCTGCGCAAGAAGAACCCGCAGCTGCCGCTCGAGCAGCTCGAGGTGATGGCGCACGAGGAGGTGCTGGGCAAGGGCCCCAAGAGTCGCGCCTTCTACCGAGTGCAGGCCACGCGCAAAATGGTCGGCGCCGGCAATCTCAGTCGCAAGATCAGCGAGCGCGCCCAGAGCGACTTGAGCGAGGTGAAGGCCGAGCTGCAACGCGCCGAGGCCGAGAGCATCGACATCGAGAACGTCAACGCCCAGCGGGTCTACTTCGAGCCCGGCCACTACACTGTCATGGAGAACGTCGGCACCTTCGAAGTCGGCGTGACGAGGGTCGGCGGCGACCTCAACCGGCCGTGCACCGTCGACTTTTGCACCGAGGACGGCACCGCCGAGGCCGGCTCCGATTACGAGAGCGCCAAGGGCACTCTCAGATTCGAGCCCGGCGAAACCAGGAAGACCATCAAGCTGTCGGTCATCGACGACGAGCTCTTCGAGGAGGACGAGCACTTTTACGTAAGGTGAGATAGCGCGTCCAGCCTTTGTGCGTTGCATCGCGTATGCGCGCCGCGGCCATCGTCACCTTGACGATCGCTCATACAATAGATCGCTTGGATCTACTGTAACTAAGGCAGACGGCGTAGTTTAGAAGTCTCATCAATTAAATATCGGTTGTTTACCTATTTCGTTTGATGCTCGAACAGATTATAGGCCAAAAATTCCAGCTAAATGCACTCCAGTTCGAAGCTTTCGGAAAGTGCATCAAAGAAATACCGAATAGATATCTTCTGAGATTTTGGTTTTCATTCAACTGTGCATGCCCACAAATATCGAAACATTTACTTGCTAAATACGCGTACAGTAAGTAACCATTCCGCCAATGAAATAGGAATCGTGAACTGGTTTCATCTTGTCATAAAGAGACTCGATAGATTTCAATACGAAAACAGTTGTCGAAGAACGAAAATATCGACATTTTCATGACAAGTTCATGTCAAGCTTCTAGTTTTTCAGATTTTTCACAAAAATTCATCCGAAAATGCCGGACAGAAATATTTTCCTCGTTCGAATTGAAGAAAGTGAAATTACCTTCTATTTTATATTCTTTAGTCGAGCCTTCCGTTTTTTATTTTATTCTATTTTCATATTCGTGTCAGTGATTAAGACAGCGAGATAAACGAACAAGTAGAAGGCGATAAGAGTGCTCGAGAAAGGAAAAATATATCAGCGAAGTAGGTAATTTCGCTTAATTTTTTCCTCTCGTGTCCAGTGCCATAACGACTGCGACGGCGCTGGTCGACTCGAAACAATGACTGCTCTGCTTTATAAGTACGTCGACTGCGAAGTCATTACCGGAACACTTAAAGACTTTTCATGTGCGCACAGTTCATTCGATCGAGAGCGCGCAAATTATCTCATTAGCCGCTCATTTTCTAACACTTGTGCGCTGTGCATGCTACTGCTATTTGCTTCAGTCTATCCTGTCCCTATAGTTCGCCTGTATTACAATTTGAGAGGGGAAGGCCCTCGTTATATCTTTCTTGACTGACGTTGGCATTATTAGGTTCATATCTATGTTCCATTATCAAATCTCATTCACGATGAATTTTCGTCGTAAATCAAGCTAATCTCACAACATGAAATCCATATCTTAACGCTAATAATATTAAACGGTGTACCGTTCAAACGCGGCAAACTGTTTCCATTGTTCTTGTTGTTTTCTAAATTCGTAAATGAACGCCGAATCGGCGCTCACAAGGTTTAATCCATAAAACGCGATAGAAATAAACGTCATTGCCTTTACACCAGCCTTGGAAACTGTTTCCAAAGGCCAAAGTTCGCTTGAACTGGTGTTACGCGCGATCCAAGCAATCGAACACGCACAGCAGCAAAGCGCACATAAAAACGAAAACGTTAATTTTGTTCGTTTGCAGGCTGATGAACGTGTCGCAGCCGGCGATGCTGGCGTCGCCGAGTCTGGCGACAGTAATGATATTGGACGACGACCATAGCGGTGTGTTTGGCTTCCCGGAACGCGACGTCGAGTTGGTGGAAAGTGTGGGCCAGTATCCGTTACGGGTAATCCGTTACAGTGGCGCCCGGGGACGTGTTAACGTACCTTATCGAACGGTCGAGGGTACAGCCAAACCTGGCAAACAGTATCTTCACGCCGAGGGTACCATCACCTTCGAGGATAATCAGACAGAGTGAGTCTATTTACTAGTTGATTAATCGTCTATCTCATTTCGATATAAAGCTTCCTATTTATATACCTATATATGTTTAATACGTGGGAATAATTTAGGCTGGCCAAAGTACAGGAATAGTCAAGCGCACTTTTGGTACTATATGCTGGGCTAGAGACTGTTATCAGACGTCGAATAAATTTAGATATGAAGTGGTTTATATATTAAGGATTAATCTTGAAACATCGCAGATCAATCTGTTTATTTCCATCGTAAAACGAATAATGAGATATTTCCAACATCGGTAATGCTATGGCAATGTATCCCGGATCAGCAAGCGAGCGCCGTAAAATATTCGATACGGTCCGACTGCATGGACTGATTGTTCATCTGTGCAGTAAAATGCGTAGGGAGCGCGTTTTGCTTGTCTTGAAATTAAACGCGCACCCAACTCTGCCACCCTCCAGACTTCGAGGCCGCAAGGATATAACCAAGATTAATGATCTTCCACATAATTAGAAACGAAGGACCCCAGGGAATAAAGCGAGGAGTGAGCCGCGATAAACTTGCCGTCAGATTTTTTTCCCTCAGACTCTAGAGATGAAAAATTTTAATAGCTCAGCCGCGCTTCGAAATTATAATCATGTTTTGAGAATTGATTACCTACGCTTAGACGCATGTGCGTATGAATATTCATCGCGATTCAAGTGCTATTTCAAGGATTGTTATATCGGTGATGCGCGTCAGCTTAAACTGTTCGTCATGTGTGTTATTAAACGTATTCTATTTATCTTTTGTTCGCCAAGGTAATATAAGTCGTTCGTGCGAATTTGAAATTCAGACGAGCTATTTCAATACTCGTATGCTTATTTATAGAAGATCGAATACTGACAAATCGATGAGAGAATAAAAAAAGAAATTACCGCAACATCTGATCTCATCATAATCTTGAAATCCTTGTGAATTGAATAGGAAATCACGATTGATGAACTTGACGACAGCCTAGAATATCACGAAACACTGAAATCAGGGCTAGCATAGCTTATTCAAAGATGAAAATCGTCAAAGTCAAGCACTTCATTAGACGACGTGATATGAGGCTACCTTACGCTCGATAAACGCCCCAGACAAAGCAATATCAAGCGCTTGAAATCAAATATCTCGCCTCGTCGAACTCAAGCTCGCGCGAGCTCTAATTTATCGGGAAAAACAGAGAGACGGCCATTAAAAATCCTCGACATTCATAAATATTCAAGAGCGCGCGAGCGACGACTGCGACGTTGTAGTCTCCGGTTTTGATAGGCATTAAGCATGCAGGCAAATTCTTTTACTGCCAGGCTGGCGTATATACAGTTGTGAGCTTTGGTGACGTGGACTATATACGGCGCGTCATCTCTCGCTACTCGCGACGATCGATTGTTTTGCAAAGCCTGCTAGCTAGTTGTTCGATCGTTATCCCTAGCTACGTAACGTCGCGTGGTGGGCTGCATGAAAAGTCAATTATAATGTCGCTCGTTTTGAGTTCCATGGCTTTCTATGTCATGAAAATCATTCTATGAAGATGTTACGTGAGGTCTCGAAAAATCTTTAATTTATGCGAGTTAATTTGTAAATACTTTTATCTATCTATTTCCTCACATTTCGGATGTATATAAGTGACATTCCTTTTCTAACTAAGGATTCTACGTAAAAATAATCAATTATGTAAAAACTAATGTGCAGGGAATGTGAACATTTACAAAATTTTAAAAAATAATAAATTTCTGATTGTACTGTTCGTGCGAAGTATATTTACAAGGATTACTTTTTATATAAATAAATTATGGCTATTTAAAATTAATGTTTACAAGCCCATACATCGCGCGAATGGTCAATTGCGTTTGAAAACCGTGCAGCGATAAAGCATTTGAGAGACGGGGGCGGGAGAAGGAAAACGACATTTGTTTTGACGTACTGTGCAACTGTTTAATTTTACTAATTAAAGTTCTACGCCGGTAGGATATACATTAATTGGGCCATGCTCTCGTCGGTAATTAATGTACTTTATCAAATTACCCAAATCGCGAAATGATCTTTTTGAGATAATATCAGAATAGCAAGATTTAACTTTATTGCCGTTTGTTCGAAAAGGAAGAGTGAGAGAGAGAGAGAGTCGTTTTCATTCCGTTTATTTTATTGCTGTTTGAGGACAATCGTTGAAATAAGCTTTATTGATATTTTTATTTCTATCAACAAATTTCGTTCAGATATAAAAAGCAAAAATGTTCCACTTTAAAAGCCGACCCGGGTGGCCGATAAGTTCACTGCAGAATAATAATCGAAGTTGAGCTCATGTAATATCAAGAGTATAATAAAGCTATAAAAGAAAAGAAGCCACATAAAAGTAATCCAAACCAAAAAATGCTTAGCATATCGGTGGCGGCCCATACTATAGAATGAAAATATCGTCGTTTTCGCGGGCGCCAGCACTCCCGTAGTTTTAGAAGTCGATTTGCCGCCAGTCCAAAGGTGCAAAATTGCTATTGTGCGAACAGGAAGTGATATGCGTGAGTTCAAAAGTTGCCAATGTGACGTTGGAGTTTTCAAGTTTGCTAACCACTAATGATTTATCCCTCGCTTTTCTCTCTCTCTTTCTCTCTCTCTCTCGTGTGTGTATGTGTTGCCAAAGTCGTTGTCTCGATGAGATAGCACATATATATAGTAAGGTAGAAAGCATAACTTCTCGATTAATAGTTGTGGGCCATTGTGGGTTTACCTACAGTGGACATTATCTATGACTTTAGGAATATATGATCGATGTAATTTCGATTATCATAGACGGGTTAATGTAGTCTTACGAATTTTTGATCAAACAATTTATTATTTTATCGAGTATTTAGTTTAATTATTATCACGTGCCGAATATAATTGTTAATCTATGTTGTAAAATCATACCTGTAATTTCAAAGAAGCTATAAAATCGATATGAAATTTCTGATGAAACCTTCAATGATAAAAAATAATCAATTATGATCCAATAGATCGGTCAAACTTCATAAATAATCCGACAAAAACACATTAAAAAATCCAATTCTTTCACAAATCGATTAAATAAGTAGTATAGCTGTGTTATGTGGTCAGCCTTCGCATAAACGTTCGCTGACGCAATAAAATTCAAGCGGACGAATACAGTTAATCAATTAGACTGAAAATTTCAGCGTATAAATAATCGTTTGGGAATGAACGTAGGTAATTTACCACGTAATCACTAAACAAACTATAAGCTGATACTCGCGCGCGCGAATCCCCGCGGCACGTTATTACGTGACGAAAGTCAGCGCGTGTCTAGCACAGCGTGGCAAGCCGCGAAGCGTCATAACCGTCCGACCACAAGTTTAGCAAACCCATACACCTAGAAGCAGAGCAAAACGCACGTACGCTGGGGCATTTAATTGCGTCCATTGCTTGGCTTCCTTGCCAAAAGTCTATGCATCGCGTGTGAAAATTGGGCCACGACTACTCGCTCTCTCTCTTCGAAACTTTTATTGTCGAGTAATGTTCACACCACTCTACTCCAAATGCGAGTGGGCGAAGATAGTCGTGTGCTCTTCCCTTTTTTTTCTCGACGCGTAGTTTCTCCTTCGCCTCGTGAGCATTGTTGGATCTCAAGGTGAAGAGCTGTCTTTCTGTTCTAATTTTTTTTTTTTTTTTTTTTTTTTTTTTCTTTCGCATCGGTGGGGATATCTTCAGAACAAAACGAGTTTCTGGATGACTTTGAGAAACTTCTTCAGAAGCTTCGAAGAATTACGAATGAAGCACGAGGATGAAATAGCTTGCGAAATATTTTTTTCGATTTGTTCGAAAGAGAGCTTTCGGCTGCCTCCCGAATTTGATAAATGCGCGTGTACGAAAAAAAAAGTTTTAGCGCGTCGTTTTGGAAATGACGAGCTATCGCTCATCGAATGCTCGAGAAAGAGAGTCATGCGTCTCTCATCTGCGATACTATCTCATCATTCTGAAAGATTTCATTTCCGTAAAATACATATTTACGATTGCTCTTGGGAGCATAAACTCGCGATCGAACACGTGTCCGAGGCAGCAGCAGTAGAAGCTTGCACAAGGAAATCGAGCGAGCAGCCAATAGTATTTGCGAAGAAGTAAAACTGATAGGCAAGCTCTCAAATGCAGCAGAGGCTAGCTATACGCGGGGCTAGCGTGTCAATGTCAGAAGCACTTTTATTCATTTTTCGCGCGCTCACGCGCATCATTTAACATTCACTCCTTCCCCCTCGTTCTCTAGGCATTTCGCTTGACGTTATAGAGAAATTACACGCGGAGTTTACGAGCGCCTGTTGTAATGGATATTATTCCCATATCTTGTGCTTCAAACGGAATAATGTCTTTCTATTTTCTCGACAGACTCCATGGCGACTGTAGTGAACGATACGTTGCTGTCACAAACATAAACAATATCTGCACGATTTACTCATTTATGAATGCTATTTTTGTTTATTAATGGGCCTTTTAATACGATTGGGTAACAATTCAGCAAATTAAAATATTCGTTTATCTGCATATGATGTGGCTCTGCCCAGGTAAATGCTGCCACGGTCTCATCTATTTTAAAAACGTCTAAATATACCACATCCGAGACTCTGGTATCTTCGTTCGCGCTCGCGGGGACGCCACGTTGTGTCGGAACATTAACTTGCATCTTTCGTATGTTTTCTCGAAAAATAATTAAAATTTCTTTACTTTCGTTTTCTTCGAATCTGTGTGTTTCTCACGTCTCAATGAACATACTGGTCTCGGTGCAATGTGCTCTTTTCGAATGTTTTGCTACACTGTACTACAGTAACAAAGTATAATCGCTTGACCGGGAATTTCAGCTGGCGCACACCCGGGCTAAGATAAATAACTGCAGAGTCGAGAGCTGGTGTGCGCACGACGGTCACTGACGCGCACAGACAACATATCCAGACTACTCGCAAGAGAAGTGAATTAGGATAGCAAACGAAAACTGTTTTACAAATGGACGAGAA